TAATTATAATAAAGTTACAATAAATTAAGTTAATATATAATTATATATACAGTACCTAATTTATATATAATTAATATATAATTATATGTACAGTACCTAATTTATATATAATTTATATAATACTGTCCAGACGATAGAAATCTCTCCGTAGCGTGGCGCTACGGACGGCGGGAAAGTAGTTCGGCTTCCCGATGACGTTTGAGGTGTTTATAGGGAACTTTTACTATTTTTTACGAATACCGGTAGCAATTTTTTTCGTAGTTTTATGGGAATCGTAATTATAGGGGGGTCGACTGTATACAAGGGCTGTGGAGTCGGAGTCGGAGTCGTCAAAAAATCCGCCGACTCCGACTCCTTTTTACTTCCCAACTTGTTATGTATATACAACGGAAAAGTATTGAAATCGTGTCAAATTTGACCCTCCATGTTTCTTTTGCAAATCTACACGTTTGGAGACCTCCCGAACCCCCCAAAAAGTCAATAAGAAGAAAAATTCGCGCGTGTGTGTGTGTTGGCGTTTAATTTGTTTAATTTCTTTATTTTTTGTTATGAGATATTAAACAATATCTCAGAATGGGTAAAGTTTAAGGAACGAAATGTGGTACTGTAGCTTGCGTATAAAGGAACATTAATACTATTAAATTTTGATCCTTAATTAAAGATCGACAGGGTGAAGACATAAAAGGGGTCATGTGTCATATGTCTTAATGAGTATTTTACTCGTTACTAGCGTTCAAAATTTAAAAAATAAAATGTAAAACTCGTCTCTACCCTCAAAGTAAGCTTTTTAGCCATTTTATAATAGTACAGTAAAACCCGTTAAGATGTTCTCGCCTAAGATATTAGAATCTGTATGGGGACATGATTTAGTTCCACCACTCTGAAGCTTAATAACTAACTCCTGTGTTAAACCATCTGACTTCGATTCTAACCACTCTGACCACAGAAATTATTAGGCTTCAAACAGAGTAAACAAAATTAATCCCCCACACACAAGTTTAACATCCACACATATAGAAAAAAAACCTCGAATCTTTTGCATACCTCGAAATTGCAAAATGTCCTGAGTCCAAAAATGTAAAAATTTGAGAGGGTTACACTTTCCCTCTGTTATATATAACAGCCAGAAAAGTAAAAATTATCGAATACATATTTATATATTGACTGTTCATTACTTAGAGGAGTATTTTAGCATTGGAATAAAAAGTTTCTACGTTCTATCTTTATTAGAACTCTATTTATTGAACCTTTTATTCTGAAGTCACGTGATGACATGAGAATTTTCGGGTCTCTTTCGGTAACAAGTCTGCCCCTAGTCGGGGTCGAAGTCGGTAGATTTTTACGCTACTCCATAGCCCTGATATATACAAATTTGCAAATCAATAATGGTGTCCTACCACAGTTCACTCTTGTGTTACAATGGAACAGAGACAACTGAATACACTGAAAAGCGACAACACTACACTAGTACACACTACAGTGTTGCTGAATCGTTGTCTCGCTGCACCAAAAGTGACACAAAGCGCAACTCACGAAATCTGTGACACAAAGCATGCCATTTTCAAACTCTCACAAATTATTTTTAATATTTTGCATTAAAATCTCGCGACCCCGAGATTTCGCTAAGCGACCCCAAATGGGGTCGCGACCCATAGTTTAAGAAGCCTTGGTCTAGGACAATTGTTATAAAATTCTACAGAAATGCCTACCTGAAGCAGTGCCGTCTTTCATCGACAACGCAGCTGACCCTACTTCCAGAAAGACAAACTCGACACCCAAAACATTATCTTGCCAATTATAACACAAATTATATTACAAAACATCTGGCTTATAACATTCCTTGCCAAATACTTTCACAAAATGTTCGGTCCGTCCGGATTCGAACCCGGGTCCCCCACAGCGGTGGGCTGCCAGCTTGACCGCTCGGCCGTGCCCGGGCCTATTTTCACTCAGCGGCCATGCGCCGGGGGCAAAATTAGGCGCTTATCGGCGCTGACGATTTCTTTTCTTGGCTTCCGTTTATCATCGATCTGGCCACTTGGTCCATATCAAGAATGCAAACTGAAGAAGAACTTGTGGATAGTTTGAAGAGACAAAAAAGCGGCGGACACAAATAAATGCCAACATAAAAGAAATTTTATAGAAACGTTGTATAACGAATAATAAATTCTAAAATATATTTTTAATAATGTTTTTTTCTACAAAAAAACTTCGCTAAGGAATTATTTTAAATTATCATTTGGCTATTTATTGGCGATATTTTCGGTTTAACGCGAGAAATTACGCTAACGGTTTTGGCGCCAAATAACAAAAGCTCCGGAAGCGCCATATTTAAAAGACGTAAGGCGGATCGTCCGAGAGGGAAACACAATGCCTGTCAGGGATTATTCTACCGATAAAGGTGATATTTTAAAGGAAATTTTAGATAAGTTGTCGATCTATTTATACATCGACACGTTTAAGAGATTTATGTTTAATTTTTTTATTAAAATTACTTTCCTTTGTTGATTTCTTATTACTAATGGGGATGGAAGCCAATAACGAATAGTTGTATGATAAATATTGCCTTTTGAGCGATGACAGGTGATAATTACAAGTATATTTGCTAAAATCATATCCAAAAACACGTTAAAATTGATATATATGAGAGAAATCGATGCTTAAGCTTGACAGAAACAGATTAATATCTAATGGCACGTGAACTAAACACGTGTGATGAAATACAGTAATGCTTATTAAAACACGTGATCGGCCTCTTACGTATCTCGAAATACATTAAATCTGTTAGAAAGGTATTTTCCATGCAAATTTTATATAAACACTTGAAAGTATTTTTATTGGATTGATAAGGGTGTTTCGATGTTATATCCAAATATATATATAATAAAAATCTCTAATACTGTGATTTAAATTTGAACAAAAACAAAAGAGATGTAAAATGTGCCTAGTAAAAATGGTGCAATTTGGACGAGTCGAGGTGTTTTCCTATGCTAAAGATAACTTTGGAGCTTTGACGTGAAGGGTAGGAAACAGTAATAAAAATCTCGCCGATGCTTATCTTTAGCAAAGAAAAACACCTAAGAAAAAATTTGACTGGTCCAAATTGTCGCCATTTTTACTCTGTGCGGTTCTTTTACGCTTTTGATGTTTTTCTTTGGATGTCGTTGTTTTTGGTTAATACAGGTAGGCCTCCTACAACGCGGTAGATACGTTCCTTGAAAATACCACGTTGTGGGAAATCGCGTTATAGGAGACACCAACTTAATACAAAAACTGGGATTCGGTTCTAAAAAGAGAAAAACTTGGCATTTGAATGGCGTTTTTTGAATTTTCCAAACCTGCCATTGCTAGCCACGAATTTAACACTGGTTTCATCAGCCGACGACTGTCCCATTTGTTTTAAATAATCAAATATTTTTAAAGCTTTGTGTTTAAGTGCAGTTTTATTTAAAGGCACCCATTTCTTGTTTATATCTTCTACTCATAATATTAGCGCTTGTTCCATTTTTTTCATTATAGGTGCTCTCGGAAGAGCAACATTTTTCGCAAGAATAGATGATCCGGATGCGACCAAATTTCTGATCTTTTCTCCCGATTGCTTAATCGACCGAATAGTCGACTCATTTAAATTAAAATGCCTATCAATATTAGCTATTCGCTCTTGATTTTTAATTCGATCCAAAGTTTCTATCTTTGTTTGAAGAGTTATAAATTTCCTTTTTAATGACAGTCCTTTCTTTTCATTCAGCATTGTTATGGCTAAAATTTTTTCAATCAGTTTTGTGGACAGTAAAAATCACAAAAAATAACTTTTTTTCATTATGTTGTTAAAAATATACACCCAATAGAAGTTTATACTGTGTTTTGGACCATTTTTGCTGTCCCCACTTATTGAAACAGTATAAATGGTGGAAAATTTAGTGATATATTTGAGTGTTTACGGTAACTGATTCACATTGGTCTAGAAACCGGTCTTCCCCTGAAACTTTCAAGGGAATAACACGCCAACGTCGACAAACAGCTGTTTTCAAAGACTTTTAGCTCTGTATACCGAACTGCTGCTCGTATCACGTGATCCGTTGCAATTTTTCTCTTATGTGAAGATAATTCGTTTCTAATTACCGTAAACCGCGTTGTAAAAGTACCGCGTTGTAAGAAAATTTCCGCATTTTTTCCAACTGCGTTGGAGCGAAAATGCGTTGTAAAGGTATCGCGTTGTAGGAGGCCTACCTGTATTTGTATTGAGTCGAGACCCAAGACGACCGTGCACCGTTTGATTGGTGCCTGGCGGTGGCCGCCGACCCGACACTTTTGATATGCCATTACTAAAATCGTCATAATATATTTTATTTGGCATAAATTTGAGCTTTGGTCGTTCCGGATAACGTTTTGAATGGAAATCGTTCGTTTTTGTGCAGTTTTATCCTTACCGACGTAAAATTAAGCCGTAAGAGTAAGACAGCGCTCCGTGGGAAACTCCTCCAATTTTGACCTCTCGACCCAGAAGTTACGCTGGCACCTCGCCGATGACCGGAAAGACTTGAGTTTAAAATTTGAGCTTTCTAGACCTGGTGGCTTTTTTCTAGGAGCGTCTGCAAAGCCGGCTATGGCTGTTTTGGCGAGTTTTGACTTTTTGATTACTTATATTTCAATAGCTCCTTTATAGAAAACCTGAAATTTTGCACGCTAAATAAGAAAACGAGTGTTTATTAATTGAGATATTCAGAATTACTTTTAAGTATTTGAGGACTGAGAAATCGACCTCTGAAAATGGGCAACTCCAATTCCTGTATATACGGATGGTCGGTGATTGTTTTTCTGTACTAGGCACGGAGTCATTTATGTGTTTGTTGATAATTATTTAACGTGTTTAATATTTTAGGTTTTGGTGTATATTGACGTTTCGTTGGGCCGGTCGTAAACGTGGAGCATCGACTGCTCCAAAATTCCAAAATGTAGGCCTATAGGAATAAAATCAATACAGCTAATAAAAGTAGAATTTCTATTACTTATCAAAAGAAATTTTAATTGGTGTACTTTTTTTTTTACATAAAAAATTAAGTTTTGGAGGCATCTTTGTGTGAAGCCTAGGCCAAATTATCCCATTGTTGCAAGAGATATTCACAAGACGAGTGACATACTTCAGATATTTTTATTTTCGAACAATATCTGTATGTGCAATGTACTATGAAAGTCATATCTACAGTCACCAGACAACAGTTTTCTGAAATTTTGTACTATTTTAAGGAATCAAAAATGTTTTTGAGGCTTTGTAGACTTTGTTTTTGTAAAATTTAATGTTTGATTTATTAAATTATAACTTGGTGAGAGGAATGGTATAAGTTCATGTTTTTCATCATTCAATTATTGTCAAAGCTGGTTTATAAATTAGATGATTTTTAGGTAATATTGCAGCTCTGAATGAGTCGTTTAGGTCCTTATTGACCGTGAACCATGTCCATTTGCATAAGAAAACCAAAGGTACTGACGGTCTACATGTGATCCTTGGAGGGATAGACTAATTTCGGATGGCTATATCTGAAATTTTTAAAACATCAAAAATGGTGTAAAATTTAAATGAAAAAAATCCAGAATTATTTCTCAAAACAATGGTAAAAATCAATTGTTTTCCATTTTACTGGAGATGCCGAGATCTTGTAAAATACAAGAAATGCCGTTGGACCGACTACTTCGTGGACACGGTTGGAGTCACGATACATACTCCATTAAGTCTATCCTGTTTATAGGCTGATTTTGGGGGGAGACTAAGTCTCACAAAAGGGTCTCACGTGGCCCATCAGTTTCTTTGACTGTTTACCCCTATGGGCATAGTCTATAGCTTTGATAACCGCTTCATTCAGAGCTGCAGTTTTGTCCTTTGTCACACATCATTTGAATTAATTCAACAAATATTAAGATTTTAAACTGTATGAAGTTTTCTTTCTGTCCTTTGTACTACATAATGGCAAAACTATAATGAATTCACTTGATAACTCAATTTGTTAGGATCAATACAATTAAACTTCCATTTAGTACCACCATTTGTTCAGCAAGGAATTGATACTGAATTGTATACATGTTGTTAAACTTAAATATCTTATACAATATAAAGTAATTGGATCTACAAGCAAGCTTGAAGTATGATTTGAAAGTTGTACGATGACAATGTCATTTGCAATGAAGAATCATACATTTAGGAATATATGGACAGCAAAGGAGTTTCTTCTGTTTAATATTTACAGGGAAGGACATTATACAGACAAGTATTTGCAGTACAGGCATACCTCGACTTACGTCGGTTTCGAGTTACGTCGTTCCCGATTATACGTCGCTTGTTAAAAAAGTATATGGAAAAATAAAAACTCGACTTACGTCGGTTTCGAGTTACGTCGTTCCCGATTATACGTCGCTTGTTAAAAAAGTATATGGAAAAATAAAAATCAAGTTTAAGTCATTTTATTCGACTTTACGTCTGTCCGCCACAAATATTGAAGTCGTAATATCACTAGATAAACGTTTAAAGCACATAAAATCATATTAAAATATATACAAGTATGTACTGTATTTACAGTACACGCATTCGTAAATTTAGATTACTTTTTTTGTACTATATTAAAAACTAAAATTTATTTGTTTGTAAGCTTAAAATAGATTTTTATTAACCATATATTATTTAAAATGCTTTCCTAGTGATAAGTAGATTCGGAGACAGGTAAATTCGACTTACGTCGTTTTCCTGGAACCAATTACCGACGTAAGGCGAGGTATACCTGTATAGATAATTTAATTTGCAGGATAAGCGGTTGGAATTTTGAAGACTCATAAAAATAATTTATTTATAAACATGATTATTATTTCTCTTTGGTTTAATTATTTTAATTTAAATGTCTTTGCTTTAAGTTAACTTTAAAGTAGAATTGTAATTTTTAGCAATTATTATGCTGTGTACTAATTTTATGTAATAAATTTCTAAGATATTATCATGTAAAGATACTTGAAAACAAACTAAATTTCATTTGCCAATTACAGACGAAATAAAGTCTTTTCTGGTAGAATTCCACACAACAGAAAATGGGAAAAAGGTCTACAAATATGCTCAGCAATTGGTAAGTTTTATTTCCTGATTTTATTAGTTAGTAAATAAATGTTCAAGATTTAAGAAATTTTTTATTAGTTTTTTCTTATCCCGTCTCTACTGAGGTTACATCCATTGTTTTTTCTCCAAAGTGAATTGTCTAGTTCTTTTAACTAAGCTTGTTTAATGCCTCGATAAATGCATGTAAATCGGTGATGAGTTTTCTGGACATTGTTTTTGTTGTCTCTGAGTAGTCTGGTTAAAGTAGCCGACAAAAGGGCAATAGCAGCGGCGGTGATATTCTGGCTACTCTTATCATTGTCTCTGGATTTCGAGGATGAAAACAGTTAGGAGTTTTTATTGCACAAAGGAAGTGTAAAAAGTTGTTACAAGTGAATTCAGTGGATAATCGGCAAAGATACACTTTTATGAATTGATTTGAGTAGCAATTTGCTAGTCGGAGGCCAAAATGTGGGATGTGAAATTGATCTCGTTGGTCAATTTTGTGTTGCCGGGTAGCTTTGAGAAATTGGCTACGAGCAATATAGTGATCCCATTATAATTTCAATTTTTCATGGTGGATCTGTATTTTCATTTATGCCAATTCTTAGTGTCCCTACTCAGTGGAAATACTACAGAGGAGAAAGAGAATTTGCAGCACAATTGGCGTGACATAGCGGGACACAATGTGACGACACTTCCAGTCTATGATGAGACCGAACCTGCTCTTTATATATAAACTTGTTGTTTTAATGCTTAATTTTTTAATAAAGTATTTATTTTTACTTTTCTTTTGTTATAAAGGAAAGAATAAATTTCACTGTTTATGTGATGCATTACCAATAAATGAATTTCACCATAAAAACAAACCATCTTATTATGCTAACTTCTTGTTTAATTACAGAAAGATTTAACTCATTTAATATTTAAACCAAGAGAAACGGTGTGGCCAATTAGTCTTTTTTGGCTGTATTATTTAATACAAAATAATATTTAGCTGTTAATGGCAGTCTTGAAGTGTAAATATATACTGTAAATATATATATTGTAGTGTAAATATTCTTTTAAATGTTGTCAAACTATTATTTCTGTTAACATAGTACTTATTTTACTCCAAAGATAATTCCATGACTATAATTTTATCCAGAATCTTTATTTTCAGAACAGTTGACTTTGTACATACAAAATAAATTAAACAAATACTAACCTTTAGTATGAGGATGAATTTTTAAGATCTGTTTTCTTCAGTACTGTCAATGCAAATAAATAATGTTTTATCTTATATCGATCATTGGATGATTGAATATAATGTCAAAGCAAATTGTTAGTTTTCTTCAGGCAATGAAAATTGAGGATTCAAGTGAGGAAAATCGTAGGAAACACTAGATTCAATAATATATCTGTAAAATTTAATCCTGTAATTGTAAGGTATATGCACGGGTATTTAGGTAAATTTCATGTATTTAGTATAATTAACTTCACTTGAACTAAAGAATATTTGTGCATGGATTACAGTTTAATTAAAGTCAGAACTATCCATTAAATTTCTTGGTGTACAGATTCACTCGTCTTAGTCGACCGGTGGCCCAGTGGATAAAACCACCGAACACTGGTAGTAAGTTGTGGGTTTGTGTCTAGCCAACAGATTGACCAAGTGCATATTTCTAGGTTTTCTTCACATCTGTAAACAGTAAATAGGGGTCAGTTTCCCATAGCAAGGCCTCTTGGGAGGATTGTATCTGCAATATGAAGTGGGGCAAACGACAAACTTAATTTTTAAACATGTTACGTTAAAAATTACAGTACTTTTAATTCTAGAATGATGTTATTGATAGTTTAATTTCAATTTTCAAATTTTATAGAAAAAAATTGCACACAGAGAAGAGGTGGCATTTCAAGTGGATCTGAATGATTTGATGGAAAGTCATCCGGAGATGACCGATGCCGTCTTGGAGAATGCCCAGCGATACGCAAAGCTGTTCGCCGACTGCATTTACGACATCCTACCGGATTATAAAGAAAAGGAGGTACATACATACATTTTATATTACAATTTATAGAATATCAGTTTAAAGAGTAATGTATGTTGATATTTTACTTCTCGTCTAATTATGCAAGAATGTTGTTATACTAATGGGTTAAATAGTAATAATTGCAGTCTTCACTATTCTGGAGACTGTCGATAAGGCATTATACATTGTTTGCCAGATTACTCCTTCAAATTATGTTTTGTAATTGAACATTGTTAGAAAATTAGTGATTTTAGGCATCAGTATACAAAGTGGAATTTGAACTGGTGAACTGGCAAAAATACAAATGACATTTTAGCATATTTTATTAGTACAGATAGTCGTTGACTTATGACCTGTGCATCTTACGAGTGATTGACTTTAAGACCAAGACAGTGACTGCTGACTGGTACGTGTGGCAACTTCCACATCTTGTACTGCAAGCTATGTCCAGCTGGGCAAACGATTGTTTGCAATAATGATTGATGTTTATGCTTGTAAGAACTAAAATAAAATTTTATACAAAACTACGCACGGAAAAAAATTTTTGTAAAAACTATGACGTCATCAGGACAAAAACAAATTTTCAAAAATCTGATGTTCCAAATATTGTCGAACTTGAGGAAGGCCATTAAATATAGCCAAAAACGTTAGTTCGATTAAAGAAAATTGCTAGAAAAAGAGTCGAAGGTTTTATATTACTTATTTTATACAAAAGTTATGATAATAGTATACATGCCAACAGTTCAATGTTCCCTTCTCTGTTTGTCCCATAGCCCACCTAATTTTTATTAAATATATGTCCTTAGCACTTTTGAGTGTTTTTAATAATTTCCATGGCTACACTTTCTTTTAACATTCCTTGGTTTTAAGCGAGAACTAGTTCCCATCATACTGTATTTATAGACCATGAAATCAGATCTGTTCGTATGGTAAAAACTGGCATGCCGGTTTAACTGAGGTTATACATCTTTCTCTAGAGGCACATTTAAAAAAACAGTTACATTACATAAAAATGAAAGAGTTTTTATTCTAAAACTGTAAAAGTGTCAGCATTACATCAAAAACTGATTATTTGTTTAATTTCTTCATTTTGTTTTCTTTCTAATGAAATAAATGCAACCTCACCATAAACTGGAACTGTAGAGTTGCAAATCACTCCTAAATTCAACTTTCCAGCTAATAAAAGTCATAAATTATAAAGATCAAATGTTTTCGGCCACTAAATTTATTGGCTTTCCTCAGGAAATACAAACTAAAACTCTTTCCAATGATTTAAAATACTCTTGGAATTTTCAAAGTGCTTTTTTATATGTATTCTATTGTTATTTGATTCAAAAATGCAAAAATAAACATATTAAATTTAAGAAACTGACTGTAAATTATCTCGGATTATGTCGATTAACGTCTGCTTTGTGTGAAATTTGAGGTGTTATTTTTAATGTTGGGGTAAATGGTCTGTAGCCCACACTAACCACAACCACCAAAGTTGTTAATTCTCTTGTAAACAAAAACTCTTACTAATTTTAAGTCGGTCAAATTACAATGTTATTATTTTATTCTACTAAGAAGGTTTTCTTCGGCATTTAATTAGACAACTAGTTTTGTTACATCTGATTAATTTTATATCTTAGTCATAGTTTAACCGGTATGCCAGTCTCCCTTGTTTTTATGCGGCATTCTGCGAAAATACTGTAAAAACTACACTATCGTCTGGTCGGTGGTGAAAACAGAAATTTTAACCCATGTGGGACAGCAATAAAACCCGATTAAGATGTTTCTGCACAAGTTGTTTTCCACCTAAGTCATTCAAATTCTGTGCTCCTGTCATTTCACCCAAAAGACATGTTAAAAATTTTTGCAATAAGATCGACAAGTGTAAAATAAGAAACAGATATTTAGAGATAACGCTATTAGAATGACATAAAATGTGAAGGCCGACTTGCGACCAAATTAGTTTATGACAGATTCCTTGGAACTAATTACGGTTGTAAGTCAACGACTACCTATAATAATGTTATATTTGGATATGTGGCACGATTGTAGATGTTGAGCTTCATTTTAATTAAAATATTGTTTGGAGTCTAATAAAACATCATGCCACAAATGGAGTATTCCTGTTAATATTAGGTGCAAGTAGAATTAGAAAAAGATTTTTGTTTGTGTGTGTCTTGTTACTTATTTATATCATCTTAATGTAAAAATTGTCTTTGTGCCTACACTTATGCTACACACTTTGTTTTTAGATCAATATTACATGACTTCAAAGTTAACTTTGCATAATAAGACAACAATTTATGTTAATGATGTTTATAAAACCAAGTAACTTTACTGCAAATTGGTGTTTTGCATGTTTAATTTCATTACACTATTGGCCGTACAAAAGGATGGCAAATTATTGAAATTCCACAGAACATCTTTAGAATTGCTAAAAAAATTAATGCATATTTTAAAAAAATATTACAGATAGAAGCGAAAGACACTCTGGATGTTTACATCGAACACAGGTTATTGATGGAACAAAGATATCATCAACCGGGTGAGAATAGAGATCCTCAAAATCGATATCCTCCAGAATTAATTCGAAGATAGTAAGTTTATGTTTTGATATTTACTTGTAAGGTACTGCAACTTCTTTTTTTACTTTTTCTACTCTTGTTACTAAGAGTACCGTTTTCTTTCTGCCCTTTGCGGGTTTGGCCAGGCCTGCAATAGAGTGGCTGGTCGATGAAAGATTCAACATGTCCAGGATGGAATACCCAAAAAACTTATGGGGTTTTTTGAGTGTTGGGATTTGATTCTGGGTTTCTTGGAGCAGTTTGAATCTGTGAAAATTGTTTTCTAAAATTATTTGTGACATAGTTCTATTGGGCTTAAGGTTTTTTCTGGCATAGTATATACAGGGTGTCTCAGAATAAACGTTTCAGAACTTCTAAGAGGTGTAGGGTGCATCCTGACGACTCGGAATCATATAGCAATGTAGGTTTGGAAATGCTTTCCTGAAATGGTAGATGGCGAAGTTTCAAACGTTCTTGAAGGGAATTGTCATTTTGCACAAGAACACAGAGTTAGCTGATATGCGTTTGGTGTATGGGCTGCAGATTGTAGTGGGCCAGCCGCACAGTGCTTGTATGCAGAATGATATCCGATGAGACGTATTCCCAGCCATAATTTCTTTGCAAGCCTGCACCAGAGGTTAGCTGTTTGTGTACATCACCGCTTCAGGAAAGCATTTCCAATCTTGCATTGCTATATGATTCCGAGTTGTTGGGATACACCCTACCTCTCTTAGAAATTCTGAAACGTTTAACTGAGACACCCTGTATATGTAAAATTGGGCAAGTGCAGTGTAGGTGTGGACATGCCGTTCGTTGTTCCTGGACAGCATGGTTAGTAACATATATGGTTATATCTCATACTATTCAGTTTAGAAGCAAAGATTGGAGGGAGGTCCAAAGTAGCATAATTGGCACTGCATCCACACATTAAGAAGTTGTAGGTTTGACTACCTCTCTGGATTTATGTTTTCTTCCAAAATAATCTAAATATTAATACATTTCTATAGAAACTTGTCTTAATTTGCAAACATTTATGCAACTGCTTGCATAAATTATAATTATGAGAGACATATTGAAGTATTTTTAACTTGTAACTATATTAGAATTTCTATTTTTCACACCCAAACATAACAGATTTATTTTTTCAATTTCTTTAAACACATGGTTCTCTGTTGTTTTTGAGATGGAGATGAGAAATTCCATAGTACTTTTGGGCTGTCTGGCCCATCACGGATACCAATGACGTCTCAATCACCAAAAATAGCAGTTAACTTTATAATTACAGTTTTGAACTTAATTTCAAACAGAGTAAGACTTCACTATATTTTATATATCTTGTAATACATGGCATTCTTTATGATAACTGCCTTTATTCAAATGTATGTCCTTTCTATTTCAGCGAAGTTTATTTTAAAGCTCCGGCACAGCAGAAATACGTTTCCGTTCGACAGGTGAAGGCGCAACACATCGGAAAGTTGATAACGGTTAAGGGAATAATAACCCGATGCACCGAAGTCAAGCCCATGATCGTGGTGGCCACTTACACTTGCGATCAGTGCGGTTCGGAGACCTATCAACCGGTGAGTGTCTTTGTTTTTTTGTATTTATTAATCAGTATTATCTGTAATTTCGAGTCTTGCTTGCATATTTCTTCTTAGACGATGGGTCCGGTATTTATGCCATTGATAATGTGCAGTAGCAATGACTGTAGAGTGAATAAGTCGGGAGGTAGACTCTATCTACAGACGCGAGGTTCAAAGTTTATGAAATTTCAAGAATTAAGAATACAAGAGCACGTAAGTTCAAGAAATTATGTAGAATTAAAATTGTATTTGAGTCGGTACAACCAAAAGTTAAGTTTGCGTGGATTCTCTTGTTAATCTAGAGTGATCAAGTTCCTGTCGGGAACATACCCCGTTCAATGACTGTGTATGCCAGAGGAGAATTGACGAGACAAGCCGTACCAGGTGACCACGTAGTGGTAACTGGAGTGTTTTTACCACTGGCCAAAAGTGGATTCGGTCAAATAACTCAAGGGTTATTGGCCGACACATTCTTAGATGCTCATGTAAGCAAAAGAATCTTTTTCAAAGTTTCTAAAAGTGATTCTATATTTTAAATTTGTATAATCCAATAATTAGAGGATAGCAAAAGTTAACAAAGCGGAAGATGAAGAACAAGAATTGACAGAACTAACCCAGGAGGAACTCAAGGAATTAGATGGTTTATATTTTACAATTATTCTAATTAACATTATGTAAAACTGATTTCTCATATGTCAAAATATCTCATAGAGTCGGATTTTTACGACAAACTTGCCTGCAGCATTGCGCCAGAAATTTACGGTCACGAAGACGTCAAAAAGGCACTGTTGTTGCTGTTGGTAGGCGGAGTGGATTGCAATCCGAGTGGAATGAAAATAAGAGGTAATGTATAAGAAACGACAAAATTTCATTTGAAATCTTGGAAATGTTTTGGAGTTTTGTTCATAAAGTTACGTTTTTGAACTTTCTCTGTGTGTGTAGGACTGACCATCTCTGTGTGTGTAGTCCTGGTATAATTAGTTGGCCAAATGGTAACAGATGGTTAATTTTGATAAGATTCCCATTCAAATATTGTATTTACCTGATTGAAAGCAGACCTTTTTTTAATTTTTTCATGGTTCAAAAAATGAATCTCTTGGCGAGTTAGTATCATTAATGTTGTGGTAGGTGACACCCTTTACTGATGTAATTGAAAGTTTGGAAAAAAATATATCAGAAGGTAAGATAAGTTTCCCCTATCAACAATCATGGAAGGTTGAATTACCAAAGTTGTTATTAAGTAGGCATTTTGGCTGCTGTTTTATAATGAGGCACTATCGTTATACTGCCGATTTTAAAGGGATAGCGATTTTAATTTTTGGGAGACATCAAATCTTTGTGTAGTGGCAATATGGGATTGATGTAAGCAATATTAGATAGTGGAGAAGGCAGATAGACCAAATATCTGTATGCTCCATCAAAATAACATTTTTGGTGGACAAAACGTGGTCACCACCATACAGTGGAAATTGTTTTAAATGATTTCATGAAAGAGTAGTGTAAGAATTGTCTACCAGTGAATGCCGAAGTAATTCAAATTAAGACTTGTGAAATTTCTTGAGAGCAGAAAATCGACAATTTCAAGATAAGTCGGGATTTGGGTTTTCACTTCATAGGCATACTTCAATTGTACAGAAATTGCCAGGAAATTATGAAGTGACATTAATAAATTTCAGCACCTCATAATAAGGTGACACACTGAAAAGAACTGTCTTCTTGGAGTGAAAATCCTGTTAACAGGAAGTGAAAAATGGCACATGACCATTATATTGGCACGTACTGCCAAAGGACATAAACTTCCTCCATTCATTGTTCAAATGCAAGACAATGCCAAAGTTGGAGATATTTCAGAAAAGTGACATCGTTAGGGTTTCTCATTTTCTGGTCCTTTGCTTGTCCTGGGATTTCGGGGGGGGGAGAAAGTAAACTGTTTCCCGAGATAGAATTACTGTAATTATTTTTAAGATATACAAAATATCTTGAAATCAAATGATAAAATTATTTTTCATTTTTTACAGTAATTTAATGTGTTCTGCAATCTCCAAAATCATATTAATAATGCTGTGTAAGATATATATTAAAAATTACCTTTGAATTACATAGAAATTTTCACAAATAGAAAAATTTATTAAAGTTTGCTGGAAACTGCATACAACAACAACAAAATAAAAAAAAAGCTTTGAATTGAGTTGAAAATTTAGAAAAAATGAACTTAGATCAAACTCTTAACTTAAAAGATAATTTTTGTTTTTTAAATAAAATGTAATACAAAATATTATTCTAAATTTTTATAAGACTAGCTGTACCCGGCCATGCATTGCTGTGGCTCAAAATGTATCTATTATAAATGTATAACACTTCCCGTAGGAGGGAATTTCGAAAAATCCCTTTTTAGTGTACATTCTCTTGGCATACCCTATTAAAACTCAATCAAAAATGCAAAAAACCGCATCTAAAATAGAATAATAGAAGACCGTTCTTCACAGTAAGCCTTAATTTTGTCCCTCTCTCTCGTGGTGGTAATTTTGACATCTATATAATATGAAAACATGCACGTATTTGAATGCAACGTTGTGTCAAAATTTCAAAGCAATCGGTTAAGAACTTTCGAAGATTTAAGATTTTGAACAAACGAACATTTACATTTTTATTTATATAGATTTTAAAAAGCAAAGATGGTCAATACTCCAATCACTCAATCTGATTCTTATTTTAGTAATGAAAATTCCTGCTACTGAGAATGCCCTTTCCAATTGAATTGATGTGAGTTGAATTGTGTTTAATGTATTTAAGAGAAGATGGATGTTGTGTTTTCTCACCTGTAGCCTGGAAGTTTTCTACAGGGGATGATCAAAAACTAAGGTTACAAAGCCTGCAGTGAAAAGTATACATTTTATTTCATACAACCAATACAGCCAACTGATAGTATTGTACATACATTAAGTTATTTTTTGACATAGTCTCCATATCAGTTTAGGCACTTGTCACTTTGCGTGATGAGTTTGAAAATTCCCTCCTGGTAAAAATCCTGTCCTTGTGTGTTCAGCCAAGTTGTCGCAAAGTGTTTCACTTCCTCATCTGAAGCAAATCGTCATCGTGCTAGGTTCTCCTTTAAGGGAGGAAACAGGTGAAAGTTGCTTGGAGCGAGGTCCGGGTTGTAGGGAGGGTGGTTGAAGTTGTCCCAGTGAAACTGCTTCCAACAGCGTGGTGGTCTTCTGTGCTGTAAGAGGTCGTGCATCATGAAGGAAGATGACGCCCTTGGTGAGAAGTCCTGGCCTTTTCCACCTGATTGCTTTGTGCAATCGTGTCAAGGTCTCGCAGTATAGGTCAGTGGTCACTGTACCCTCCCTCTTTCCAAAAACTCCCTCCACAACTATGACACCTGTGCTGTCCCAGAACACTGGCCATCACCTTCCTGGCAGATGGCATCACCTTAAACTTCTTTTATTTATTTTATTTTAGCCAAATTTTATATACATTTTAAAAAATATTTTTCTTTACTCCATTTCATTTTTAATTAAACTAACAGATCTACTATAGTCAAATACATACATTACAAATATCAAATTCCTTGTAGATTAATAAGTAATTATAATAATTATTTGATTTGTATTATTTTTGAGGCTGGCTTTGTGAAACTATTGGATTTGTTTCAGTCTGAGGTTGAAGAAGTCTTGTTCTTTTCTTGGTATAATGCTGCCAATGCAACAGCTGTTGATCATCAATAAATTTTGCACATTGTGCACTAGTTATTTCTCGTCGGAAATGTTCATATTGTAGTAATTCTAAGAAATAGAGACACATGGGATATTTCAAAAACTTGGCATATTCAGGCTTCTTCCAATATTGCAAATACTTCAAATAATTGACAAAAGCTTTATCTTTCAGATAACCCCGCTGAGCTAAAAAATTTAAATAATTAGGATTGGCCAAACACTGAATAAATTCAAGTTCTATTTGAAAACGTAATTTTTGCTGCTCTTCAGATTCTTTTACAGCCATATTAAATCATAAGTAAACAATTTCATTCAGATAAATATCTATCTGAATGTCTTTGGAGAGGATGTGTGTTTTGTACCATCATATTCCATAATGTAATCCTCCTGTTGTTCTGAATAAGCTCCTCCACGCAAGCTACGTTGACATCTGTTGATGCCGTGCTGGGTCAGCCACTGTGATCCTCGTTGGTGACGCTTTCTCTACCGGCCGCAAACTTTTGACACTATTCTGCAACATGCTAACGAGACATTACAGTCTCTCTGTAAACCTCTACCAGCTGCCAGTGAATTTCAGCCACGGTTATATCAGGGGGATCCAAAAAAAAAAACCAAATTGAGAGCACGCTGCCATTCATAGATGTAGTAGAGAGTTCTCCCGTTAGATGGGTTTAGTAGAGACCTTCACAAAACAGCTGTGCAGACGGCATCAGTTTGTAGGTTTACGCTTGAGCATAGTCTTGTGTTTCTCTTACTGTTATTTTGTTCCGTCTGCAAAGTTCTGGGCGTCCTTCAACATCTCGAAACAATGAAAACATTGAAAAAAATCTGCCAAAAAAGTTTTAAGATGTCTGCAAGAGGATGTATGAAGGAAACCTCCGGAACTTTGGCGATCAGGTGACTGGTTCTTTCATCACGACAACGCACCCGCACACACGGCCTTACGAGTGACTGACTATTTGGCCTGTCCTTCCCCACCCTCCATATTCACCAGACCTAGCCCCATGCGACTTTTTTCTGTTTCCGAGAATGAAGAAAAATCTAAAAGGGAAGCGTTTTGATGATGTGGAGGCGGTAAAAACAGCTTCCCTAAGGGCAGTGGACGATATCAAGGTTGAAGAATTCCAGAGATGCTTCAAACAGTGGGGAAAAAGACTTGACAAGTGCATCGCATCTAATGGAGTGTACTTTGAAGGTGACTATTTATTAACTTTTTTACAAAATTCCTTCAAAGTTTTTATACAAAAAATCCAGTTTTTTTGGGATCCACCACGTATGTTTTGCACACAGAAATCAAATAACCGAGTGGATTTCTTCGCAAGACCAGTTTTCCAAACGAGCCGCCATTTGTGTTTACCTACAACTAGCGCTGTAGGTGGTGGGTGGCTGAAACTCTACATAGTTGCCAACCACACGTGTTGGAATTACCATCACACTTCTCATTTCTCTATAACAAACGAAATTCCAGGAATATCAGCCATGTAACCTTAGTTTTTGATCAATCCTCATAGTTCGTTTTCAAGATTTTAGTACTACTTTTGCTCTCTAGTATTCTTGATTTGTCTACCTTGGCTGCTTTAATAGAAACATCAAGCTTATAGCCCAATAATTCATCAGTTTGTTTGTCTTCAATAATCAGGTTTATGAAGAAAAACTTCATACTTGCAGACTTTGTACTCGTTTGTATCCTTGCCCAATTTGGCTTTACGCAGTTATCGAAGCTACTGGGCATGGTTAAAAAATAATTAAGACACCATAAGCATAATTATTCCAGATATTACAGGTTCTGACAAGTAAAGGATTTTCAGAGTCCTGCCACAAATAAGCTGTATATTGATTATTGACCATTTGTGACATACCATAACCAGCAAAAATTTAAAAAACCAATAAGTAGGTTTAAAATTAATAAATACAAATGTATTCTGACAGTTTATGAGTTAAATATACAAAATTTGCAAAATTTCCTCAACCTTAACACAAAATAAGAAAAAAGTGAATTTTTAAGAAATTTGCAGGATTTCCTGGGTTAAAAAACAACTGGAATCCCATTTGAGGAAACCCCAGTCATCGTACCTGTAAATGAAAATGGGTAGTTTACCGAAGACATGTTGACGGAATGGGTTTCCTTGCCTTGACACCTTTGTTGAAGTTTCCTAGCTTCCTTGTCTTGAATTCTTACACTGTCCATACAACAGAGGTGATAAATAGAAAGTTAAAAGGAAAGAAAATGGCTATTATTCTAGGAGGGATGAACTCAAAGGTCCTAGACACATGCATTGATAAGCTGTTCGAGTTGAGAAAAATGTACACAGATTGCTCTCCACAGAAGATCGAATACTCACACCTATGGAATGTGTGAAGCAGGCCAGTCTATCTCAAGCATGTACATGGATTGACAATATGTGGAAGATTATTTCTAGGAAGTCACTGCCAGTGTTTAAAAAGTGTTTGATCTCGATGCTCCTTACAAAGACTGACAAAGAATCAATTGACAACGAATCTGAGTCATTTTATGAAGGCAACCGAACAATTAAATGGTATAAAATTTATTCCTTAAGCTCAATTAATAATTATTCATTTTCAATTTTCTGGGGTTGGCTTACGATCAAATAAATACAGTATATGAATTACAAAATGTTTGACCCCAATCATACAGTTGTTTTTTTAAACAAGCCTCTCAGAAATATGCATATACATCAACACTATCATAACCATCAATGTACTATACATACCATATTTCTGTACATTTAAGAGGATGCTTTTTATATAAAAATCTTTGTTTTTCAAATATGCATTCCACTTTGTCTATAAGAGCCTGCTGTTATAGGCAAAGCGGGATGTGTGCATGCCCTCCTGTTTTGACTTTGTCTATATAGATTAAATATGAAGGTACTGTACTAATAGAGTATTCAGTGACATCTCTGTGGTTGCCATTGTTAAAAATAAAAAAGTACTTTCGATAATATAAATAGGTTTATATTGTTTTAAAGTACTGTTTCATAAACATCACTTCATTTGTCTTGTTTTGGCACCTCAATTTTTTTCTCTTGGCTGTAGTTAGTTTATATTGTCCTATTTCAGTACAGAAGCATACTGTTGTTTGTTGATATTTTTGGATTGTGTTTATTTTATTTTTTTTTAGCACCAGTACTACTACTAAAGTTAAATATACAGAGAGAAAAAGTGTTTACTAGAGGGAAATGAGAAAATTAAATGACATTGGAAAGGAATATTTCTAGATGTTTAAATAATGTTTAACATTTCAGGAAATATAAATATATGTCTTATGGGTGATCCCGGCGTGGCCAAATCTCAGTTACTTTCTTACATAGACCGTCTGGCTCAGCGCAGTAAGTAATCTTTATTTTTGTTTGATTCAAATACGTTATCTCGCAACTTCTCCGGTCTTCTCTCGACCAGGTCAGTACACTACCGGTCGAGGATCTTCCGGCGTCGGTCTGACCGCAGCCGTGATGAAGGACCCCGTCACGGGTGAAATGACCCTGGAGGGTGGCGCCCTGGTGTTGGCCGATCAGGGAGTGTGTTGCATCGACGAATTTGACAAGATGATGGATGCGGATCGGACGGCCATACACGAGGTGATGGAACAGCAGACGATATCCATCGCCAAGGTGAGGAAACATACGATATTTTCGTGTCGTCTCTGTATTGCTAGTTCTAAATAAGTTATTTTAGGCGGGCATATTGACCACGTTGAATGCCAGGGTGTCCATACTGGCCGCCGCCAACCCCGCTTACGGGCGCTACAATCCAAAGAAGACCGTCGAACAAAACATACAGTTGCCGGCAGCTCTTTTGTCTAGATTTGATCTCCTTTGGCTAATTCAAGACATTCCAGACAGAGAAAATGACTTAAGGTATTGTTTTAAATAGTTAAAAATCAAAGTATTCGACTGAAATTTTACACATTTCTTTTGTACCTTAGATTAGCTCAACACATTACTTACGTGCATCAGAATAATGCAGAACCTCCCTCCCAATTCAAACCTCTGGACATGAAACTGATGAGGCGTTACATAATTTCGTGCAAGAGGAAATTTCCTGTGATTCCGGAAAAACTGACTGACTATATAGTCGGAGCATATGTCGAAATGCGAAAGGAGGCTCGCAACAACAGGGACACGACATTCACTTCCGCCAGAACCCTTTTAGCCGTTTTACGTCTGTCGACCGCATTGGTAAGTCAACTTACGAATAGTTGTGCTTACAAAATTTCAACTCAAAGATAAATTTTATTTAATACTTAGGCACGATTGAGGCTGTCGGATATTGTGGAAAAAGAGGACATTAACGAAGCCATACGATTAATGGAAATGTCGAAATGCTCGCTGTTACAACAGCAGAAATCGACGGGAAGGTAACATATTTTAACGGAGTACTTAATTCCATTATGGTTCCTTTTAATATGCATGTATCATTTTTTTAGAGTTCAGACCATCACCGACCAAATATTTGCCACAATTCGAGATCTCATGATGGAGCTGGGGGGAAGAAGCATCAAGATGTCCGACGCCATCGAACGTTGCACGTCTAAGGGTTTTAAACCCGACCAGATAGATCAGGCAATCGACGAGTACGAAGAATTGAACGTCTGGCAGGTTAACCAGACACGAACGAGTATTACATTTGTGTAGTTAGAAACGTTATAATTTTTGTCATTTGTTTCTCAAAATCTAATTTACTATAATAAAGCATTACAAGTGTATATGGGGTAAAAATTGATTCATACTCTACTGCCATAAACATCATGAAAGCCTTTTAGCGTGGCAAGGAAATTGAATTTTGATTGCCCAAAAAATGTTTGTATTAATTAAACAAATGATTTATTTTCTTGCTTATAAAAGGTTTTCACAAATGTCTTGCAAACTAAAAATACTACAATGTGCTGATAAGTTTTATTTAAACAAAATATCTGATCTCATAACTGTATAAATTTTATTCAAACAAATTTAATTATAAATTCTAAATCTGAAACTAACTAACTACAAGAATTCTTTTACATTCTTTCTATCAAATAATTTAAATTTACTTCGGACGTTTTCCGTGAAATATTTAGAGACTGACGCTCTAGTTTTAGATGTCCGCCGACCGGCTTTTTCTATCTAGCAACAGACGGTCAGACGTCTAAAGCACTCCCTCGTAACGAGTAAAATAAAACGCGAGTCAAAGCGGAATGCCAGACGAAGAATAGAATTGCGTCCGCGGTAACACTAGATCCGCGCGGCCTCCGACGAAAGTGAAGTGACATTTGCAGCGGAGTAAGATACAGCAGTTTATTTGGCATCACAAATTTCTTCAAAAATCAAGCAAATACAATCTGATATATCTATACATTATAAATCACAAATGATTCGAAAACGTGTTTACACTCGATGGCATTTATGATCAATGAGAGAAAAGGAGACGCACCGACATTAAGCTCGTCCCGGAAACTGGGAATGCGTGAAGTAATGATGGTAGTAAAATTAAAATGGTCGAAAGGTAACATTTTAAAAGTATGCTTTGGACGATACGAGTAACAACACAATTTTCTCAAATTTTGGACTAGAACCGTCGTACGAGTGAGAATACTTTGCAAATTATGGATTATTCTCATTTAACTTTTAATTACATTATATATATTCAAGTATTCTAAGTAATAATGCCATCTCAAAACACGGGGAGGTTCCAGTCTGTATATTACAATTAAGATTACTTCAATTTTTACAACTTCTGATGCTTTTTTTAAAAAATTCTTTTGAAGTCAAACACAAAAAAAGAAGGAACTAAGCTGTTTCACTCATCAGAATGCAAAGAGTAAGCAGCGAGATGAAGCACAAATGGAGTACTGATTTTTAAATGCAGTACTTGGTCCTACAATTCGTGCAGGAACGTGATGTGGGGATAGTCTTTCGCTACTTGTTGGTTTCTCATCTGTTATAGAAATGGATTGCCGGGTTTTGTTCTTGGGACTGTTGCGCCGTTCCTCTCCTAAAAGGAAAATCATAATGTTTTTTTTTTTTGTGGCCCGGATAAATTTTTCAAAAGAAATATTTTCTTACCAAGAACGGATTTGCAGCAATGGTCTGTTGCATCCAGGGACTCGCACTCTGTTCCAGTTTTGCTTCCGGAAAGGTCGGCTGGGCCACGTTCTGGTGGTTGACTAGGCCGGTTCCCCACGGGCCAACGTTTGCTCCCGGTGCGCCCCAGGCTACGACCGGCTGCCTGACTCCAAAGCCATTCTGGGTCCCAAACTGGTTTGTGGGAATGCCATTGGGTGATCCAGCCACATTGCCCGTGGGAAATGTTGCGAAGTTCACACCCGTTCCGAATCCCGCATATCCCTCTTCCACGGAAGCTCCAAAAGCCACGGTAGGCTGGACCACAATTCCGGGAGCGGAAACCGCTGTCTGAAAGGGATTTGCCGTCGCAAACGTCGGAACGGCCTGTTGCTGGGACACCGGCTGCTTGTTCCATCCGAGGGAATCGGTGCCGAACGGATTCGATCCTTTCAAATAAGAATTGAACCAGTCAAGTTTGAGTAAAAATACATCTCTATCATTACAAATCTAAAATATGTAAAATAATAAATATCGATCATTTATTAATGTGCAAAAAATAACAAACTTTAGATATCAAATATCTTATTGTGTCAATAAATCTGGAACATTGATGATGCCACCAAGAGTGCAGAGCCAAGCAGGACTTTAAGGACTAATTGGATCTAAACATAAGATTAATTTTTATGCCTCAACCATTTCTATCATTACTACTAAAATTGATATTTTCCATATATGTCTTTTTAGCTTAATTTTTTTAAAACCTGTGGATTTGTCTAAAGACATCACACCCAAATTTCATGTGTCAGAATGTTCTTTGGTTATAAACAACACATCCAAATTCAAATCTTTGGAATGAAATATTAATTTATACATACATTTCTTCATCAGTTTATCAAATATTACTTTGTTAGAATCATACAGATGAGCTCTGACTTGGACATAATTTATTCCTAAAAGTCTATGAAAGTTGAGAAAGTGTTTCCATGTTTAAAGGTAATTTTGTTCCTCGAAACAAGATTTTGTGAGGGTGTTTCAAAAAGTAACATCTTTTTAATATTAAATTTTTTTAGGTCATATGTTTATTCAGACTTAGTAGAAACCTATTTTCATTTGCAACAATAGTACACATTTATTAAATTATCCAGCAAATTTGCAATATTGGAAAAGCAGATTCCAAAAGTCTGTTTCTCAAGAGCTGAAACTTTTATTATTAGACCAACTATGTAGTAGTTGCCAGGCACTAGGTTGGGACTGTAGGTCAGACATTGAAAAGGAACTTTTGCAATATTTGATTATGGGTTGCAATTTTTTCTGCAACCTTTGTGCCATAGCCAAAAGTGGGCTAGTGGATCACTACTCATCTCATAAGCTTGTTTGTTTTTGTTTGAACATTTTGCACCATTGTCTAATGTTAGAATGATTTTCAGAATACACACACAAGATTTTGAAATGGATTTATGATAGTTTTTGTCCTTTAGCCTGGAGAAATCACACTACAGCTCTGTCCCTTTATAGTGGACAATGTGATAAGAGATGTGATTTTTACATTGATCTATCGTACTTGTCCACAAGTTAAGAATACCTGTTGCTCAACACTCTGGTGAAAAAGGGAGTGAACTTTATGTTTCTTCTAAATTTGGATTGAAACTGATGTAGAAAAAGCAATAATTTAAGAATTTCCCTTGTATAAAGAATCCGATTAGGCAAAATCCTTTAAGTTGGTTAAGTGAAAGTTGAAAGCAACATTTAAAAAATATACTTTGGAAATGAATGATGACAGAATTTTCACATAAATTTGTACTATAAATGGCAATGACTTGTTGTAAGGCACAAATCTTGAAAAAAATCTAAGCCATTTAGAGACTGATTAAAATGTTATTACAATAGATGCATGATTTGAAATAATAAACTCATCAAAATCACTCTCATACCTCATTAATACAGTGGTTTAGGTAGCAGATCATTGCTGTAAAGCAAATCACTACCTTGTTTGCACTTGCCAGTGCATATAAAAGCTAGAAACCTTTACATTGAACCTAAAAAAATTAAATAAAAATCCTGTTTTTTATTACAAGGTGAGTGCATAAAATAATAAACAAGAATATACTGTAGTTTGAGAACTGCTAATGCAGTGTTTTTAAAAGCTAAGAATCTTAAGGCAAGGGAAATCTCCAAGGAGACAGCATGATTTTGAGGTAACCAATTTTGATCAAACTCTGCAAGTTATAGTATATATATACATCTCCAACAATTGATATGTGCCAAGCAGTAAGATGCAATACTCAAAATTAAAGGAGAAAATTACTTGAAACCTTTAGAATCTCCATCATTTACAAATTGGATGGTGGCTTGGTGGTCAGTCTGCTGGTCTCTCAATCATCAGGTTGATGTTTCAAATTTTAGTGGTATCAATGGAATTTTTTTCCTAAAACTATCATTTTCACTCTATTCTTGGTACTTTTAAATCAGTTTTTCTCTGACAATATAATAAATTTATTTTTAGAAAGCTACAAAGAACAATAAAGAGGGTAATAAAATACTAAAATCCATCTGCATCAAGTAACAAGTCAATGCCAACAGCAATTAACAAATGCTATCTAACAATATTTATTTAAAAACAAAACATTTTCTTTATTTTCATGTACAGTATACACTTATGGTAACAAAATCATTGTTTAATAACCTAAATGCGTCTATAATTGCATCTTCATTTGATAAAGAACAAAAAAGATGACTGATATTTGATGCTAACATCAATAGCATAGAAATGTGTTCTGTAGAAGAATCACTGCATGACAATACTACAAAATTTACATATTGTGAAAACATTCTTCAAAATCAAGACCTAATTGCACTGAGGGTTGTTGTTCATCACTTTCAGAAGTTGTGAAGGCAGTAGAAAAAAACATTAAGTGTTCTGATATTTTCTAATGTGATATGGTACCAAATGATTCTCCTCCAAATTAGTTGATGATGGGAAGTGTTTTTAAATATTAATCAAGTTTGTTTTTCTAATAACATAGATAAATCTTATTGTAAAAATCTGAATTTATTCAATGAGCACACTACAGAAATCTTTATTGTTTCACATGCTTCTATGGCAATTAGCATCTACAAAATTATTCTCCCGGAAAGCAAACAGATTGAATAATGTTAATAAAAATGCCTTTTTCATTGACAAAAGTGGCCTGGAATAATGATAATTTTGTTTAAATCTAATCGTCTTCTCAAATAAATTATAAATGTTAGTATGAATTCCATATGTATATGAATAATTTTTAAATAAATATAATTTTTAATTTATTCTTAGTATTTTTTAATTTCTGTATAAAATAAAAGTTAAATTGATACAACCAAGATTGAAAACACCAACCTCACGAGGATTATGAAACTGGTACACCCCTACCGAGCCACTGGCCATTCTATAAATGATGAATATTTTAAAAGTTTTAAGTGATTTGCAATTTTCAACCTAAGTTTTCTCCTTTAATTTTGTGTCTTACTGCTTGGCAAATGTCAGTTTTTGGGGATGTACCTCACCAAGTTTGATCAAAATCAATGACCTAATGTTACACTGTCCCCTTATAAGAAAATTGAATAGCCATAGTTAAATTTGGCATATTAACAAAGATGTAGTTATTTCAAACTGCAAGATTGAACACATTTTCTTTCTTGTACTGTACATTAAGATAGGATAGGTGGGTTAAATCTCTTGAATATTTATTATTCATATAAAAGTAAAAGTATATCGGAATCAATCATGAAATTTTGAAATTGGCACATACTTTTTTCTTTAGAAAAGATTATGTCATAAATATTATTAAATTTCTACAATTAAGGCTAATGTAATTTGAATTCCGATTATAATAAGATTAAAACCTAAAACAAAACGTGAATAACTACTAACCTATTTCACCTGCATAATTACCTGTCCCCTCGTTCTTGAGCGTCACAGTGTTCCCAAAGAGATAGTTGTCGCTGGCAGACCAGTTGGAGGTACCACTCGTGGGCGTCTGGTGGAACAGGTTGTCCAGGTCTGCCAGGGCCGCGTATCTGTCGGCAGGAGGAGGCTGGACCGGACGCGAGGTAGGCTGCGAATTCAACTGGGACTCGTTCTTGGGACGTCCACCAAGGGGAGGGGCGTTGGCCACTGGGACATCCGTCCGTCTGCCACTGGAGGGGGCGGGGCGAACCGTGGCACCGGAGGTAACTGGAAAAGACGGCCACTGAGACGGCGTTGACTTCTCGGAAAGCTTGTTAGACGAAGGCGAGAAAGGATTCGTCGGAGAGAAAGTTGGCAGACTGAGGGGTCTGGGCATCGCCGTGCTGCCGGCAATGCTGCCATTGTCGGGAAGTTTGGATTGGGGAGGACGGGGAACGTTGGGTTGTCTGTGAGAGGAAGAGGAGGAAGGCGGAAGGGAAGACGTGGAACGGAGAGGATCCAGATCGTCGTCAAAAGACGTCCATCCGGCCGGAGGCGTACAGGCCTTCCGTTGATGAAAGGTACTCTGAGTAGTGACAGTAGTGGTAGCAGTAGTAGTAGTGGTAGTAGTCAAGGCTAGAGAGAAATATAAGAGAAAGACAGCAGTGAAAAGAAAAAGGACACAAAAGAAAATACTTGCAAAGTCATAGAAAAAGTGGCGTGCAGTGTTTATTTTCAAAAAAATCTTACCTGGGGTGTTGAAAGCACTTTCAAAATTGGCAAAATTTCCATTTGCACTAGTTGCTTCTGCTGTTAAAAAATAATATTTAGTACTGATTAATTAAAGTTATACAATTTATTTTAAATTATAATAAAATGAATATCAGAGATCAGAAAAAATGATTGAGTGGAGAATAATTTTTTTTGGTTATTTCAATTTCATCCTACCAGGATTGTAAGCATAGAACAACTATGAATAAAAAAACTCTACAATAACTTTGATTAGTTAATTAACTTTCTTCTGTTAATGAGATTGTGTTGTTATATATTCGTAACTATATTTTTCTAAGTAATTTTGTTAAATAATTTGCAAACTATTAAGTGTTTTTTATGACAGCAAAAATTTGGATATTCTTCTGAAAAATTGTTTTCATATATTTTAAGTATATAGCACTTGCACACAGCATTGCTTTATTGTTAGGAACATGTTTCAAAGTGAATAACAATTATTCAGGTCAGACTAAGTTTCAAAATGTTTAAACATTTTGGAATATCTTCTGTTAGGTCAATATTATGCATCATCATCTGACAGTTAATTACTAACAATATAGAGATTATCTGAATATGCTATAGTTACAAACATAAAATGACGGAGGAAGTCGTAAATGAAAATTTAACACAGACAATCTTACCCGACGACTTTGTGTTATTAAAAACATTTTCATCAAAACTGTTGAATTCAAAATGACCCTTGGATTGGGTCTTTGTGTTTGTCAGAGATGCCTGGTGGGCCGTGGACGACGTGACGGCCGGCAGCCACGACGAATTCGTGTTACCCTGTGGAAAGGGAGATGAATGAGTCAAAGCCATAGATTTGCAACATGTTCAGAAAATGTGACTGTAGCTTACCTGACCATGCTGGACGACTAGAGAAGCAACGTTGTTGCCCAGGAGAGATGAGAGAGGCTGCGTCTCCGGGACAAGACTGCTCTGAGAAGAGCTGGATGGCACAGAATTCTGCCTCTGCTGTTGGTCCTGATGCATCTTTTTCGTGGCTATGTCCGGATCCACATACCATCGTTTTCTCTCGTACTTTTGTATCATAAAATCTCTGATTCTCTGTTCATCACGGGACTCTGGTTCTAACACTCTGGAATCGTAGAGCCCCATCCACACGTACTGACAATACTTTAAGAAGGAAAAATTAATATATTATAATATACAATATGGAATATTGAAATTAATTTAAAAAGAAATATATTTGTGTTTATATTAAAAATTTAAATATCCATTTTTATAATTGAATAAATACGAAATATGTAAAGCAGTAAGAAATTTACATTTAATATCTCATTTAGGAACAGTATCAAATATAGTTTATAATTTATTTTTTGTTATTACATCAATCAAGATAAGATTATTATTGCTCCATTATCATTACTTATTTATCTCTTATCTACAGAAGTAAATTAGTTTATTAGTTGACAAATTCCAGACTTTGAACAGCAAGTGAAATCTGCATCGCTGTGACATGATTTTGTGCAGTAGAATCCGAGAAAGCCAATCATCACAAACAAAAGATAACTTCCTTGGGCCATGGTTCAATTGATAAAATTCAAACAGACCAAAACTTACCTCATTTCCCCTACTTTTTATAAATTCTATTTCTTCCATACTGAAGGTGGCCATGGTAATGGATTTGACTCGATGCGGTGGATTCAAACCTCGCCTGAAACAAAATTTTAATTAGAAAATAGGAAACATTTCAAAATCGCATACAGCCAATGTTATGAATTTTTGATTCATCACATTAATTGATTAACTTGATAAACCATTTGTAATTTCTTTAATTTTATTGTTTTAATTACAGTTTGTATAAATGGAAAATTAATTATTCTTGTAAAATGTAGATTAAAGTTATCAGAAAAATAATAATCATCATCTGTTCATGAGCAAAAAAAGTGGAATTTTCTATAACAAAAGATTGGAATGTTATAAAAATTCAAGAGATTTTTTTATGTATGAGTCAGTTTCCTGTAGAGTCATACAAAGTGAATTGTACATTGAGAAGCTGTCAAAGAATATTTCACAAATTATCTTATCTTTCACAGCAAATATTGAATTATTATAAAAAGCAAGCATGTGCAAGGGATTTTTAAAGGAGTGGAAAGACACTTCTTAAAGATTTTTTACTGTCAGTTTCCTTAATTGGCTGTTTTTTATTTTTGTGTTTGAGTAATTGTTTTAATTCCTCTCACATGGAGGACTAAACCTTCAAATCCCCATGTGCACAGCCTTACATTAATTAATTAAATAAATAACAAGGATCCTGGAGTCTGAATCCTTTTATCAAATTTATTATACTTAGAAATTGATATACAGAAGTTGATTTTGTTAATTCTTAATGTTTAAATGTTACCATTAAAATTTACAAGCACAGAAGTACACTAGTACACTATAACAATAGATTTATTGTTGATCAAAGATGCAATTAGGACATGTACTTTGATATTCTAATTTTCTTGGATACAAGACTATTGGTTATTTAGTGGATGAGTAGTGTTAGAAATTTCATGGATTAACCAAAACAAATAAGTGTAGAATATAACCTGTAGAGTCAAACCTCAATAGAACACCATCATTTTAATATGTCTGAAATCGGAATTGAATCATATGTGATGCTAAACTGAGGAAACTCGTGCAATAAAAAATAATTTAAATTAACGAGAGTTATGCACAAGTTTTGGATCTGAATGTTCTGAAGTCAAGTGATTTTGCAATAACTATATCCTTGGCAATGCAGAATCCTATACTAGGTAATCCAATGATGACGAAAGATACTAATTACAGTTACAAGGAAGATCTGTTCACAAGCATTGATTGAGCAGTAATGAGGGTGTTGACATATCAAAATTAAAACTTTAATAATTGCAAACCTAATTTGACAAATACTTTTTAACATTTATAGTTACTTTATGTAGCTTTATGGGTTTGTATATAACTCAGTAATTACAAATTGCTTGTGTGTTCGTGCATTTAACTTTTGTTTTAAATGAATCTGAGTCAAATACTGAACTTCTCCAATTAACTTTCATTGATTAAACTAAACAGGATGTATGCTCTATCTAGTTTAACCTTCACCGACAAATAATTTATAGCAAAAAAGTGTGTAAACGGTAGTCTTTGCTACTTGTTTACCTACACAGTTTGAATAGTTGAAGTATGGACAAACAAATTGATACAGCAGATACAGTTGATAGGAAAATTGCAAGCAAATAGATTAAACTGTATTTGGATATCTTCATAATGTCTAATAATAAAACTTGCTATTGCATCTAGCAACCAATGACAATTTAAATTCATGTGTGTGTAGCAAGACAAAATGATATATCAAATTGGAATCATCCATTCAAATTACAAAAGATGGAATTTCCCAATGACAGATATAACCTTGTATCTGACATGTATGTTGGGAACAATACTGTAAAAGATTGTAATTTTCTGAAAGTAATCCTATATCACATTCTGTTATCAATGAATCAAGGAGAAGATGGAATGTCTATTGGACTTTCTTGTCTAGTTTAGTGTTGTAACATTTTAGCATCATATATGCCTTGGATCTTTATAGTTTATACTTTTGTCAATTGTACTGTTGAGGAAACTACAGATTTTTGAGAGAATGTAATCCTAGAAGGCTGAGATGGATAGAAAAATTTTAGGCCAGTGTAGATGGCTCATTTCCTAATCCACAAAGAAGAAATTTAGGAAATTAACTCAAAATTTTAAAAGACAAAATAGGAATAAAATATCAAATAACCTTCAATTGATATTTATATAAATACATAATTAACTATTCATACATTTTTGATTGATGTATTTGAATTATAGCTGACTCATAATGTAAAAAAGACTTTATTGAAATAAAAACATTCATCTAAAATGTATGCAGATAACAGTGGGATATACACAAAATCTTTTTCAAATTACTTATTTGGAAGTTAGTTAAATAAAATTTACAGCTTCCTAATTTACAAGTATGATAACTTAACTCTATCGTCAATAGGCAAACTTTAGCATAATCAACAATTAATTGGATCTCTCGACTCCGAGGGAGTTCGACAACTGCCCGAATCGACGTCCGGCACCTTTGGATAATTTACTTTACTGTTATTTAAACTCTATCTTCTTCAATTTAAATGCAACTCGGATCGTCAAGTATCTTTTTAACACAATTTCCTTACAGGAAACTTTATAAACAATATAAAAAAAAAATCAAATGTTTAAAGTTGGTTCCTTGCCAAGCAAGCCTAAATTACTTTGGAAACTTTTTTTAAATAATATATTTATACTTTCAAGAAGTAGTTAACTGTATGCAAATCTTAATTAAACACTAAGTCTCTAACTTTGTAGATGCATTTTTAATCATTGTATTATATCTTAAGCATTAATTTTATGTTAAAAAATTATATAAACTGAGTATAAATATCAGTTTTAAAGAGAAATATTACCAAATATACAACTGAAAAAATAATAATAAGCTTGTCAATAGATATAACGCTTCAATAATATCTAATCTGTGAATTCCATAATGATAACTGATTTTGAAACCATGCAGCAGGAGATACAATTAATATTTATCTCGTTAAGAAACGAGCCATGAAAAATGTTCCCCCACCGGATTAAAACTTCCCTCTTCCTCCCGATCACAATATGACAGGAACTTAAACATTTAAATTTAACAATCCTCTAACAAAATAATCTGACATTCTTGATAAATAAATGTGTGTTTATTTTTCTTGGTCTTCCTGTTCTAATAAGGAAAAATGCTATTATCCTCTACAGCTTATAATTTTAAAATATACAATAGAAAAATATTGTTAAAAAAGTTATATAAAATAAATGGCAATTATTAAATTTCACTTATACCTAGAGACAAAACTAAGTTTCTAAGTTTGCGTACTGTACCGAAGATGACTGTAAAAACCCATTTGGTCAAATACGATGAGTCATACCTACAAATTTGCATATATAAATATTCATAATAGGTAACTTAAGTCTTACGAAGGAGCACTCCAACCATTTACGAGCACTGTTTAATACAATTAAGTCTTATAAAACTGATTCTACTTGGTCAGAATCGACAAAATATTACTCAGATAACAACTAAGTATCTGAGTTAACTTTCAAATTGCATAAATTTATTATTTTCTAAGTGTAATTTTGTGTAAATTTACATTGCCTTTGACAAATCCAAGAGCAGAGGAAGATATGGAAAATAAGCAAGGTCGGCCCAATATAAACAACTAATTAAAGCTTACGATAAACACTGCCCGTTATTGTTTTTTTATGCAGCTGATAAAAATCACCGAGATAAATATTTAATTAAAAAATAAGGATAAAATTAAATCTTTACGTAATCATTTTTATAAACTATTCTAATTAATTAGTTTTAAGTTTAAATTTGTGTTATGAATTGCATTATTGGAATGTTATATAAATACATTATCTTAAATATTTTTAAATGATTTATGAATTTTTCTCCTAAATAATGCTTTGTGAATATTTATTAAACTTCATGAGAAAAATGCAAGTTTTAAAAATTACAAGCAAAAATGTTGGGTTTGTAGGTTAAATGCATTCACATCTCATAATCAACTATTTATATTGAACTACTACTACTTTTCCTACAAGTTCTCTAATCTTTGATTAAAAATGCTCAGAAATTGCAGTTTAATATCAAAATTATGCATTTAGATTCTATGTATATTAAACAACAGACTCTAATTTATCAGTATTTATATTGTTTGAGGAAAGGATGTGGATACAAACAACACAGCTATGCATAAAACATCTGAGGTTCCAAACATAAATCAGAAAGAGCATCTTACTGAAAAAAATAAGACATCCAGATAAATATTTTATCTGTAAATTTTCAAAGTAGTCAAGAACAAACATCCGTAAAATGCATTTATTGCTCCAATTGTCGACCCGTTTAAAGAGATCGTCCAAGCCATAAAATATTCTGAGAATTAACATGTTCGTTATCAAATATCTGATCAATTATATACTAAGTTATAGATGCAAATTTAATATAGTCTCTCTAAATAGAGGAAAGAATATGGATGCGAGTGATGCATCAAATGTTCAAAGCTCACCAAAGATGGTATATTTCTATGCAAGTTCAAATGTTAAACAAACTCCAAACTCTCTCTAAGTATTTTGTACGAACATACAAATCTTCATACAATACATTTATGGTGATAGTCGACCCATTTAAACAGACCGTCAGAGTCATTAAAATCTCTAGAAATACATTCAAATTTAATTATCATCAGAAATACGATACACTATTTATTAAATGTTATTCAATTTTAATATAACATATCTTATTAGAGCAAATAACTTGAATACGAGCCATAAACACTCAAATCTCTCACGCACATCATATTATTATATGTATTTTCAAATTTAAACTCAAAATAACTTTCTTTTTTTCAAGCAAATACTTTGTAGACACGAAGATAAGTAAACCTCCATAAAATACATTTATAGCCGTTTGATGGTCAATCTCATTTAATCGGATCGTCCGAGCCAATAAAATCTCTAGGAACGTATCCAGAATTAACATCCCATCGCCCAAAATCCGATCAATTATATACTAAATTACACACTCTGACTTAATCTTATTGCAGGGAAAGATGCAGAATAATATGACAGGCAATAAACATCCAAAACAAATCATAAGCTCCAAACTAATATTTTCAAATTAAAACTCAGAACAATAAAGTATTTGCTTGTTCTCTCCAAAAAAAGAAAATAATTTGTATGCAAAAAACCTCCATAAAATATATTCTCGGCCATTTGACAGTCGATCTCATTTAAGCGCACGTCCAAGAGAATAATATCTCTAGGAAGGAATTCAGAACAAACATACTATCATTAGAAATCTGATCGAATACATACTATATTATACACTCGAATTCGATTCCACACATCCGATTGCAGAGAAGGATGCGGACAGAGTAACACGACCGGCGATAAACAGCCAAACTAATACCGTACACATATTTTCAAATTTAAATTCGGCATAACTTTCTTTTTGAAAGAACAAGAAAATACTTCATATAAACGGAGACAAACAGCCACAAAGTAATTATCTTCGGCCATTTGACCACAGAATTCGGAATAATCATACCATCGTCCAAAGTCCGACCAATTACACATTAGACACAAATTTAATGCCACGCATCTTACGGCGGGAAAGGATCGGAGGCGAGTAATAAGTAATACGACAGGCAATAAACATCCAAAAGTACCGCAAGTTCCAAACTTTACATATTTTCAAATTTAAACTCGGAAAAACTTCTCTACGGAGAATAACGAGCAAACATTTCGTACACCCGGCGGCAAACGGACGAACTTCCGAGCAATTAAAATTCTCACGGAACAAATGCCTCTACCATCAAAATACCCAAAGAATTATGTATACGATGTGTTATATAATGTAAATCTGTGACCCACATAACACCCAGAACATTTGAAATTTTGTAATGTTCCAAGTGTTGGATGCTCCAAATTCCATTGTATCAGATGACAAACACACGAAGATAATTAGAAAAAATGTCATTTAACCGAGCGATGTGGGCAATTTGTGGGCATTTGTAACTCTTTCACTTCCAATTATGGGCAATTACGTAGATGCTTAGGAAAAATTGAATATTTGTGGCTGTAGATAACGTTTTTTCGGTAATTAAACGATGCAGAAGTACAATATAAACATTTGTTATGTGTTAAGAGGTGGAGTTCGTTAGCAATCGCCATTAAAAATGAAAAAAAAGAGGTGAGAAGACGTCAAACGTCTTCGCCTACTCACAAGATTCCGCCGCATGACGTACACACGAACGATCCTATTGTGACGTTTACGTAAGTGGGTCCTCTCTGTCGGCAATCGAAGCATTGCTTGTTAGCTGGCAACGACGCTAATTCTCTTAAAGTCTTTAAATTTTTCTCCTCTTGCGTTCGCCTTCGCGCCGCCATCTTTACCGGAAGTAAACTCTAGTGACGTAACGGCCGGCACCCGGGCATGCTCCGTTCCGCCACCTAACTTCGTCCTCCATCTGTCGGTGCGTGGAATAACCGGATGTCGTCTGTTTTCGTACTTTTTAATTACGGAACCATTTAAATCGAGATAAATGCGCAGTTGGTAATGTTTTCTTTGTAAAACAAATAATTTAGTTTCATTTGAAAGATTTTGGAGATGGAAATTAATATTCGTGTTTTGTTGCCAGATCTTGAACGTTTAAAAATTAGTGTTGCCAGATTTTGCGGTTTTTAGTGTTTTCTATTAGATTAGATTCAATTGATAAAATAGAGTAACGCAACACTTAACCGATCTATAATTGGGGTGTCTTCGATAGGACTGTATATGGGAAAATGGTCCGTATTTAGTTATTGGACACGTGTTTATACCATTTATAATTTAGATTTTTCGAGTCGTCCATCCAACACGCAGAAAAATTTTTGCTTTTAGAAAATCAGTGAAATTATTTCGAATAGTTTAGAAAGAATTACTAACAATTTCGATTACAAAGTTACTTCTGTATATCAATCTACGCTTTTCAGTTATGAATATGACAACACAATTGTCTTTTTCCCAATTAAATTATATTTGAAACTGCCAAACGAAATCGGCTCGCTTATCAGATAAGTTGATAATTTACCATCACAGAATGTGAGCAGTTGTGTGGAAACGGCCGCAGATAAATTATTGTGTAGGTGAGCTGACATTTTGAATTTAGGCTTCAGTTTTCGCACATTTATACAAACAAGCAAACGTTTCAAACCAGCTTTAAGTTAATCGGTTTTGCAATTCCTACTTATGGTAATGTTTTTGGAACGAATGGGAAAATTTTTCGTGGAAATCGCCAATGCACACGTCGTGGAATAACGGAACATTCCATTTTGAATGATACGAATACACGCCTACCCAACACGGACTCAACAATTTAAGATACAGCCAGTTAACTTGCGATAAAAAACTTCAACAGTTCTTTTTCACTGTTAAATCGAATTTATGAATAACACTAAAATTTTTTCCACGTGTAAAGGACTCGAAGTGCTACGAAGAAGAAAAGAAAATGCTCGATAATCCACAATTTTATGCTGTAAGACACTATTGACCAATCAACTGCGAATGCTTTGGGGAAAACAACAACGTGGTAGTGAATTATAATGGTAAAGAGTTGACGAACGTCCCGAAGTTCTCATTGAAAGCGTGACAATCGTCGATCTGAATAATAATAAAACTAGCGAATTGTCTAATTTGGATCGCGTGACTTGGAAAAACGTCACTGGACTACGTCTCAGCAACAATTCTTTGTCTCGTGTCTCCGATTGTGTCCTTCCACCACACATTAATATGCTGTTTCTGGACGGAAATCGTTTAACGGCATCACCTTCGGGGCTAATGAATCTTATCGACGTTTCCACGAAATTTAAGATTTTTTTGTCCGGAAACAATTGAAGTTGTGACTGCGATTCCCTATTTACGAAAGATTGGTTGTTTAGAAACAAACAGAAGAGTGGTTAAATCACGCGACATACATTCTGTTTCTTCGTCTTTTATGAACACCATCTCTAATGATTATTGCACAGAAATGAGAGAAGTTAAGCGGAGGAAAATAAAAGCGCATATTAAAATTTCGGTTAATGTTACCTATGGTTTCAAAATGGAGGAACTTTCGACAATCTCAATTCGGGGCATTCGGTGGAAAAGTTGACAGAGGGAGCTGTTTGATAAAACGTGTTTAAACGGCTCACCAGGCTCGCGTAGTTTACCACGGCAAGAATTAAAGTGGTTAAATGTATTGTACTGTACTTGAGTTATCCACGAGGTCCCGTACCAGAAACTTGCCTGTGCTTCCGCCCAGCGATCAAGAAGTCTCCTACCTGTCTGAGGGATCCTAAATTGAATACTTTCTGCCAGAAAACTTCGGGAGATTTTCGGGATGGTACCCTGCGTGTTTGTCGAGCTTCGACTTCCAATATCCAGCCACTCCTATTACAGGTTCGGTCAGACCCGCAATGGAGCGGCCAAATTTATTATTTTGCAATAAATTATGTTATCAGGAAGAAAGCCGGAGATTTTGTTGATACTAAATTAACGCTCGAAAAATCAATGGATTTGATATCCCCATGCATTGTCAACGACATACAATAAGCTTCGTCTTCACAGCAGTGTATTTTAGTAATGTCGAAAACATATAGTAGGTAGTTTGATCACTTTTCCTTGAAGTTTTAACTGTAAAACATTTTGAATTCCAAGAACATTAAGTAAATCAATTTAGTGACCTAAATATCGTCCTCGAAAAGTTATAGTAAGGGACTATATAAGTCTTCGGTTTATCAATTTTATTTCTTTAATTTAATCATTGGATTCTTTGGGGGCCATTGAGAAGAAAGTACTGTATTTATAATAACTATAATTTTTTTTTGTTACTTGTATTTATATGTGGTTCTATTACAAATTGTTTTTGGCTGTATAAAGAATAACTTTAGGAGAGTGGTAGCTTCATGATCAAATTACCTTTCCAAAACTCTTACTGTATTGTATTCTTAATTAATCGAATAAGATTAATTAGAGGACATTTTCCTCCCCGTCGATCAGCCATTTTAAGCAGTGAACGGTATAAAGGCGCGAGACTACCGCAATTTATTAAATAAATAAACACGAAGTATTTATATACATGTGTAGAATACATCCGTACGAAACGTTTATAGCTAAGGCTATAAAGCAAAAAAGCAGGAAATTAATTAGCTGAATGCGATATGTCTATCGAATTAGAGTAGAAATGATATATGAACGTATCGACGTGATAATTTATCGACTTTAGAACTCCCGAAAAGAACTGGTAGACGTTAACCCATTAATTCTTGATTATGGCACGATACCGTAGGAGGGCGCCACTAACAGAAATATCGATGCTTCCAGTTCTAAAATGCAGCAAGACGAAATACAAAAAGTAGACCCCCCTACAACACTGTCGATAATTCCGTGTTATATGAATTCCATGTTGTACGAGTCACTTAGATTTTACAAATACGTGAGCCGTTCACAGTCCGGCACACGTATTTGTAAAATCTAAGTGGCTCGTACGACATCGAATTCATATAACACGAAATTATCTACAGTGTTATAGGGGAGTCCACTGTATTTATTTATAGTTATTATATTCATCAAGAGATGGCAGCCCGGAGCCAGCTTTCTGCCAAATTGCTTGTTAATTACAGTATTTAATTTTATAGCCCGATAAAGAATCCGGCTTTTCGTCTGGCATTTAAAATCATTTTAAAAATTTAGTTATTTATTTTTTAGCCCCGTCAGAGGTAGCATTTCTGTTTGTTTAATAATAACGTTTTTATAAAAAAATGTGATTAATGTTATCTCCTCTTATCATTTTTATATACGCATTTTTCCAATTAGCAGTGGAGATTGTTGTTTCTACGGCGGCGTGCCATAATTTTTTCAGTTATTTATCCTTACCAAAAGACAAAATTAATTGAAATATATAATAATTATAATTAAAAAATAATAAATAAATATTTATAAGTTTAATTTATACGAAATGACGTCATTAAAACAACAAATATAGCTTCTTAATTTGGCATCATTCTCTAAGATAATGACGTAGTATTGACGTTAGGTGTATCCTCTATCCCAACCAATCAAACAGATTCAAAATCCAAATAAAATTTTCTTATATATTAAATTTCCTTTCGCTAGTAAAACACATATTTGATTATTTATTATTAATTATCTCCTAATGGTAAATATTAATTTTTGAATAGACGACAAGTTAAGTTCTGTCGGAATTTAGTGACGTCACCTAGTTGTTTACGTTTGTGTGAGTTCGACGTCATCGGATCCAATAGAAGTTTTGTAGAAGTGGTCTGTGTGTTTGCCCGTCTCGAAGCGTAAAAAGAAAATGTTTTTTCTTCGTACTTACAGTCGTTTTCCCATCAGACACGTTAATATTTGCGCCAGGTGAGTATTTAATTAGTTAAATAAGTTATATTTAAACATATATTACAGATCTACAAGGAAAATATATTCGAGTAGAAACACCTTAGACGTTTCGATTACGCCAGTTATATGCTCATTTCCTTTTATTTTATTGCGTTTTTATATTAAATGTACACGTTTATAGTTTGTATAATGTGGGTCAGAAGTGATGTGTTGATGCAGTGTTTATACATGAGTCACATCAATTATCTGTATCAAAAACTGTCAGGTTGTCTGTTAAATCTTCTAATTTGTAGATCATATGACCCAGAACGTTGACATAAACGTAAACGTGAATTTCTATGATTTAGAATAGGAGGTGCCCACTATGGCATGCCTTTTTCCGGATCGGTTTTGCGTGTGTTCGTCGATCCGAACTAGTCTGTTCATAGTGTTGTCGTCTTGGTAAGTAAATGGAATTAAATGGTATAATATGTACTTTGGATGGTTGCCAGGTGTTTATTATTTGTGTCGAATGTAAGAAACTACAATGGTGTACCGATGCGGAGATGATATTTGAGATGGGAGGTGAAGATGTGACCGGGTGCAGACGCGTTGACGAGAGAAGGTCGAGGTAGACTCGGTCCGACGTCGCTAAGGTCGAGAGTGGCGTTCCGGCGTCGTGTTACTGACTGCCTCAAACCCGACGATTTGGTCGATAAGAGCCGATGTGGTTGCGCAAACCAAAAATTTGGTTTGTACCATCTGGATCCTAGAAGCCTTATTAGACAATCCGAATCGGTTGCAATGCAAGACGTAATTTTGTATAATTGAAAGGCTTTAATTGATCAAACCTTATAGATGAGTGCAAATTTTTTATTTGTAAGATTGTGTTCTGGCAAAACTGCGGATGTGCTGCTTTGAAGGAGCGGCTATTGAAGTTGTGGTTTTGCCCGTGAAAGAGCAGCCATATGAGACAAGTTACGTGTTGTTTCTTGCAGTGTATGTGACGCAGATATTTGGGATTATTGACAAAAATGATTGCTGAGCTTGTTTAAATAATATATATTGAAATTTTTTTACTTTGATAAGAAAAGGAAGTAATAACTGTCCACAAAAAACCTTTATCAGTGTTGTGTTGTGTTACAATTTTTGTGGACAGTTATTACTCAACACAGTGTTACAGTGAGATGCTTGTGTTAGAAAAGGAAGTAATTTAAGAAATCAATAATAGATAGTAGGATTAGTGGTGTGCAAGCAAGTGCTGTTACCTTCCTTGTTGTATGGGTGTGAAGTGTGAACTTGGCAGAAGAAAATTGGAAGTGGAGTGAATGCTGTTGAGCTGAGAATGCTACGTTTGGTTTGTGGCAAGATACTAATGGATAGGGTAAGGAATGAAAGGATCTATGAGTTGTGTGGAATGCAAAAACAAGCTAGTGAGCATGCACAAGGGAGATTGCTGAGGTGGTTTGGGCACGTGGAGTGTATGAGCAACGAACGACTATTAAAGTGTGTCTATGTTGGTGAGGCATGTGGCAAGCATCCTAGGGGCTGTCCACCAAAGAGGTGTGTTTGATGCTTTGGTTGCAAAGAACATTGCAAGTATGCATAGTCAAAGTTGGCGTAAATGTGTACAAAAGGCCTCGATGAGTGTGGAAGAAGCGAGAGAAATATGTTTAGATCGAGCAATGTGGAAGCAGCTCATTCACTGCCAGCCCAAAAGGGAAAAGGTGTGAAGATATGTATATATGTAATAATAGTTTTCTTTGTACAGAAAGATTTATTTCCAAATTTTCCACTATTTTAAAAGGTCATGTGATGTTAATTCAAAATGTCAGATAGTGTTCAACAAATCAATGTTAGTGTTCGTCAGAAATGCTGCAAAAGTCGGATCGGCATCCAATTTTGCCAGATTGTCAAGTGTCATCAAAACAAATGATAATCGTTGCCCCGACTTGCTTTATTTCTTGATATGTGGCATGTGTGCATCTATCTTTATTATCTGAGATATTTTATAATGCTATATATTCTTGACTGTGATCTTTGTATCTGCAGTTTATGAAAATCTAAATGGTATTTCACTTTTAATGATTTGGTTTGAACTCTGTGTTCCAGATCATTATGAGAAATATATGTAGATGAATAAATATTTGTTTGGTAAACTGATCATAGAAATTCTACATATTTTTCTTTACTTAACAACTTTATAAGGCTTTTCAATTTGAGAATACGTTCAGGTCAGAACAATTTTGATGATGTTTTAACTGAGATTTGAACTTTAGTGAACTACTCGAAAATTTGAAGCATTCGTGCATGACTGTGGTTTCAATTTTTAAGAGTTGTATACACGTGAGGTGAATTGGAACAATCTCCGATTATGTGAATATTATCGAAAAACAAATCCCAAATTATGCTATTGCTTGGAGTTCAATAAGAAAAGACAACCGCTCTTAACTGCTAGCAGTTCTATTTGAGAGACATGCTAAATGATTGCCTGGTATGTCAATAGAAAATGTAGATATGGATGTCTAGGTCCAACGTTATGCCACAAATATTATAAATTAGAATATGATTAGGCCTCAAACATGATGATAATGAATAATAATTTAATATGATTAAACACCAATGACGTGCATAGAACATATAACTTTGAATGTAACTTTAACTACTTGTGCCATTTCTTCATGCAATGCTTGAGCATATATGAAGTGTTACTTAAAAATTTCCAAATACATTTGATAGTAAATTATAATTTAGAAACTACAAATTAGGTTATTTATTCTTTGGACAAATTAATGCTATATCACTTTAACTTATCTATTAAATATGAAATTCCTAAGTTCAGACCTCTCCGACGGGCCAGCCACGCTAAATTTTTATTCACATTGTCCGCATCGAAAGCCGAACTGTGAGCCAGTTTTCCGTGAAAAGTCCCCCCCGAAAGAACCCATTTGTCCCTTGTTGAATTGCCCGAGAATAGCATTATTTTATGGCATCTAAAATATATTCATTAATTATATTGCAATTGTCTGATTAATTTGGAAAATAAAGTAAATGTGGTAATTGCTCGTTCAGAAGCAGTTTGGTTTATTATTCTATACAAGTTTCATTCAAGATAAAAATAAAAAAGTTAAATTAGAATAAAATTGGGTTAAGAATGAACATTGCAAATTGTGTCGTGACACACATTTCCATTTTTTCTTAAAGTAATTGACAAATCGGGTCGGATAACATTCACTTTTTAAAAGTAAAATTATTATTATTTTATTTTAATTAATGGTAACTTTTTTTTTTGCAAATTAGGCTACTAAGTACGGCGACTCAGCCTGCCGTCAACGAAGAACAAAAACACGAAGCTCAAAAAAAGCAGGTAACTTTCTATTGACTTTAGCAATAAAGTTTTTCAGATTGCTTAAAAAATAAAGCTTACTTAAGGATATGATTTCAATAATGTATTGCAAAATTTAAGGAAATTGTACCCTTATCTGAAGGAAAAATGCATTATCTATGCATAATACGTATACTGAAAATGAGAATTGCACATGACTTGAAGTTATAATGTCACATAAAATACTTTAATAAGTGTAAAAAGAACATTTTTAATAAAATTGTTATTTATTAGGTCTAACTTTATTAAATCTACATGTTTTATAATCTAAAAAATGCTCTAAATTTACAAACATTATGAAAACTATATTAGATCCACTTAATATAAATTTTTCTTGTGTCTATTAACACGACTTTATAAAAGTAAATGGTTAGTTTACGCTTATAAAGTTGTGTTAATTTTGCTTTATTTTCATGTAATTACTCAATTTTTTAAACTTGTTTTGGAAAATTTTGCATTTATCAAAAGATAAAATTGATCATTTGTATAAATAAGATAAAATAGTTGCTCAAAGTTCATTCCTTTTGTGTTTCTCAGTAATTTGCTAAACTTTCTACTTAAAGGATGATGCGGTCTGTTTAATGTATTCAAAATCATTGAAAGCACAATATTAATTATTGATAGATTGTTAGAATGATCACTTGAAATTGTCAGATGATTAAATTAATATTTTTTTATATTAATTTACATTTTGAATATATTTAAATAAATCTCCAAAGTAGTCGTATAACAGATATATTTTAGGTAATATAAAAAATTATAATTCAGATACATAATGATAAATTTAAAATTTAAGCTGTTTGTAAGTAATTATGATTTAGTTAACAGTGTGTTATTGGTTAGTCGTCACTACTTACAAATAAATGACAATACCTAGGTGACAATGGTTTAAATGGGCTACATTTTTTTTAGAGTAGAATCAAAATACTTTGTCAGAAGAAATTAATTTGAGATAAGTGCATGTTATTAGCATATTATTAGCATAAATACATCATACATGAACATATTTATGTGTTAGAATCTTTTCGTTTTACAACAATATTTATTTTATAAGTTCATTGACCTATCCACTATCATTTCTTATCATTTTGTTACATTAATCCTGTTTTCTGTGTTTAATTTGATGTTCATTCAAAACTTATTTATAATTTTTTAAATAATTAATGTTTTATTATGTAAAATTCTTAATTTGATTTCAATGAAATAGTTAAAATAAAGTTTGCTACCGAATGTTGAGTTACTGAGGATTCAGATGGCTTGTCATTGAGTAATTGGATTGAGAAATGTTTTCCATAAATTTATATGTACTTTGCACAAATCATTTTTTATTATTCAATTATAAATTTATTAATGGAATGTTCAATTATACTATCAATGGAAATTATGATTCTGAGAGTTTGGTTTCTTCGACCTATTTACTATAAACCTCTGCATTAAACATGCATATATAAATATATGGTAATGAATAATGTATATATTCTCAATTATATATATTTATTGTCATTGTACATTTTTTAAATAAATAAAAAATATTATTTTTAACTGAAAATTTTTTTTTCTTTCAAGGAAACAAATTCTTTCGTCATGAACATTTTTAAAGGACAGTTTAAAGGAGAGCAAATATTTCCTTATCCACATGGTAACATAAGTTCCGATTCAGTTTTATATAAATCTAGTTAAAGCTAATACTTAAAATTGTTTATTCATAAGAACATCAAAAGATTTAAAATAATTTATTTTTCTGTATATTGTTTGTCTAGTGCAGATTATAGTATTGTAGATCATTAATTCTCCAAAATAACTGAAAATGGACAATTTCAGATAACTGATTGTATATTTTGCACAAACTGGATAAAAATAGATAAACAAATACACTTTTAAAACATCCATTAATGAATTTAATAAAATAAAAACATTTTCAGTCAGTTTTACTGATCTTCATCAGTTACGATAGAACAGAACACTAATACAAAACTTTAAAATTTTAAAAACGATAATAAGAATTCTAAGATAACTATATAAATAAATAGTTGAGATTAATCAAATAAATATTCACAGAAATATATTAATTACAAATATAATAACAAAAAATGAATAAATACCATCCAATAAAATAAATTATCCTAAATGGACTACCATGCGCTTAATACAATTAACTTTCGTAAACAGACCGCCATACTGTAGACAAATTGTCTGCATCCCTATGATTGATGCAAGATGATTTTTTGTGAGCTTTATACAGTTTGAATTTCTCTAGATATCTTATCGTGTATATATTAGAATTTGGTCTGATGACGTTTGCTTATTCCCATAGTACTTTTATATCCTGATGTTGTGAGTAAGCCGCTAGGGCAGTATTATTTAGATTATTAATTGTGTACTTATGCTCCTTAAGTCGTCGTCGTAAATCCACCTGTGTAAATCACATGTAGTGGCACCTATGTAGAACAGTTTTGATGCGAAATGCTGGATGATTATCGGGATGGATTAAATCCCCACAGACGAGTTACATTCATATGGCTTCTTATCATTTCTTAAAATTCTGAAGATCATTGGGTTGCATCAGTATACTATTGCTACATCATTAGCTTTGGCCACTTTCTTATGTATGTTTCTTAAGGATGGGATATAATTTAAAATGATCTTTTGTTTCTGGTCTGATGATGCATGTTGACTTTTTGATGTTTGAAAGGTTGCGATCAATTTCTGTATTATTTTTATCGGATAACCATGTTGCTCTATGATGTTTAATTTGTAATTCAGCTCCAATACCATGTTGTGTATACTGGTACAATGGGTATACATCTTTCTAATCAAAGATCTAAATGCTGCAAATTTTATATGCCGGGGATCAACAGAGTTATATGGAATTAAAAGAGATTGAAAACATGGTTTCCTGTATACCTTGGTTCAGATTTTGCTGTCTTTGCAAGAGATAGAAATGTCCAAAAAGTTTACTGTTGTTTCATTCTTTTGGTCTAATTTTAAGAGTAATCCATAGCGGTTATAATCAATCACAACGTTCCAAACAACTAAACAATGGCATCCTATTGTGGACTGGAGACAAAGGATAGTTTTAAAATATGTCCTGTTTTTAAAACAAATACATAAAGAAACGGCCAAGACTAATAATTTCTGGGTGATATATCAACACAATCCTACAGTTTTCAAGCTCTTAAGAAACAATAAGAAGCGATATGACTGGAAATCAGCATCAGGGATCTATTCTATACCATTACATGATCAGCGTTTTAATTCTGATCTTGTCTATGTGGGTGCAACGATGTTCATCTTGCAGCAATGTATCAAAGAGCATAAATATACAATTAATAAGAACCTTGACAACATCATGCTATCAGCTTACGTAAGACAACAGGACATTCAAGTCCATTGGGATCGGGCAGAAATAATTAAACTTACAAGAAATTTACACACAATGAAATATCCGGAGAAGTTAGAGATCTTTAAAGTGCACAAGACAACTGGTTGCATCAACCATAGAGATGTGGATGCTTTACCTACCACATGGTGATCCTTTTACAAAAATTAATGATATTAAGAGACTTCATTTGCCATATTTTTCATTAAGGGATATTTTCACCTTAATTTATATTATTTCTGTGTTTGTTTATTTTATCCGCTGCATCTACATTTCTGTTATTTATATTTTTATTTCTGTATTTACGTTCTTTTTTGTGTTTGATTTATATTCTATTGTATATTAATTAAATTAACTGAAGAAGATCATTAAGAAACCGTCGAAAATGTTTTTGTTATTAATTTTTATTTGCTGGATTATTAAAGGTGTGTTTTATTCACTGAAGTGGAATGTACTATTAATGAGATATTCACTGCTGAATCTTGTATCATTTAAAATAAATTTTGTAATTTTATCAATAAATTAATTGCAATTTTCATAACTTTAAAAAAAAAAAATTGATAACTTACTGAAAATTATTTCAGTATTGACAGAAGAGCAAGAAGAGAATATGAAAATGATGCTGGGTCCTGTAGAAAGATTTTTTAAGGTATAGTATAATAGTTATTAGATTTTCTTTATAAGGTTATTTAAATTAACAGCTTAAAGCTACAAATAAATACTTTGCTTGATTTAGGAAGTGAATAATCCTGTAAAAAATGATGAAACAGAAAGTATAGATGAAGCAACTGTTCAAGCTTTAAGAGAATTGGGGGCTTTTGGCCTATTGATTCCTCAAAAATATGGAGGACTGGGTCTGTGCAACAGTCAGTATGCTCGATTAGGTGAAGTGATTGGAATGAATGACATGGGTGTGGGAATTTTTATTGGAGCTCATCAGGTAATGTTTTGAAGAATTTTCTGTTATTTGTGAGGTGAAATATCAAGGTAACAGTCCAGAATATTTTATGGTCTAGTCAATTGGACTTAAGGGAATTCTTCTTTATGGAAATGAGGAACAGAAAGAAAAGTATCTTCCAGATTTGGCCGCCGGTAGAAAGTTTGCTGCTTATTGTCTCACCGAACCGGGTCATGGTTCCGATGCAAGCGTGAGTATCTTTTAATATATCTGGATTTTTGGAAGTTGCCGCATACAAAATATTATTCGTGTTTTACTAGTCGATAAAAACTCGAGCCGAACTGTCACCAGATGGAAAACATTACGTTATGAATGGAAGCAAAATTTGGATTACTAATGGAGGAGTTGCAGACATTTTCACAGTTTTTGCTCAAGTAAGATATCGATGTTTGAAATGTTTTATTTTTCTGCCATCCTGTTTTATATCATGTTTTATTGCTAGACACCGGTTGACACTCCAAAAGGCAAGAAAGACAAAATTACTGCATTTATTGTGGAGAGGGCTTTCAAAGGTGTTACGAGTGGACCTCCAGAAAAGAAATTGGGTATTAAAGCGTCTAATACAGCTGAACTCTTTTTTGACAATGTTAAGATACCAGTAGAAAATATTTTGGGTGAAGTCGGAGAGGGATTTAAGGTTTTAATATATTAAAAATTTAAAATATTTTTATAAAAATATGGACTTTTTACTGAAAGTAAATTTTAAATATCAGGTAGCCATGAACATATTAAACAGTGGAAGATTTGGTATGGCAGCAGTTATGACGGGTGTCATGAGGAAGGCTATCGAAAAGGCAGTGGATCATGCAACAACTCGAGTGCAGTTTGGTAATAAAATATGTACGTACGGTACGATTCAAGAAAAATTAGCTCGTATGGCCATGAAACATTATATTACCATGGTGAGTTTATTTGAGATGTTATTGTTAACATGTTTTCCAATTGTAATGTGTAATCTTTAATTGTTTTAGAGCATGACATATGCAGTATCCGGTTTGTTGGACCAAGAAATAAAAGATTGTCAGTTGGAAGCAGCCATTAGTAAAGTATTTGGATCGGAGTCTGCTTGGTACGTGGTAGACGAAGCCATTCAAACTCTGGGAGGAATGGGTTTCATGAAAGAGGCCGGGTTGGAAAAAATGTTGCGAGATCTCAGGATATTTCGTATTTTTGAAGGAACAAATGATATTCTTAAACTTTTTGTTGCCTTAACTGGTAATATGATAAGTTCAGAAATTAGTATATTAAAACAAACAATTTCTTTATAAGTTCTAATATTGGAAAAAGGTCTGCAATATGCTGGTGGACATCTGAAGGAATTACAGAATGCCATGAAGAATCCAGCTGCCAATCTTGGTTTGATACTGGACGAAGGAGTCAAGAGGATGAAGCAAGCAGTAGGACTCAGCAGTAATATATCAATAAATGAATTTGTGCATCCAAATTTGCATTCTTCTACTAACCTTGTAAGTAAAATATATTTAAATCAAATTAAAGTCTATTTTTTTTAACAGTATATTATACATTTGGTTTTATCTTTCAGGTAGGAAGGTCTATAGAACAGTTTGGTTCTTCAGTAGAGTATTTGTTGATGAAGTATAAAAAGAATATTATAAGTAAGAAATTTAAAATATAAGACTTTGTAACTCTTAACTCTTTTGTATATTTTAATTTTACACTCCATTCTGTTTTTACACAAATTTTTTTATAACTAATTTGAATGTGTCTAGTCAGAAGTGGTTTTTCATTCTGACTTTATCCTATGATCAAAGCATCCAGAAAAAATTAATTTGAAATATGACCATTTGCATAATTGCGTTTTTTCTGGTTTCTTTTAATATGGGGTCTGCCAAAATCTGAAATGTGCGTCTAAATATCCAGATGGCACAATGCGCTGATTGGTCAGATGAATGACATTAACCTACTAAAATCGGAAATGTTGATCGATTAGCCTAAACTTTGTGTTGTTGTTGTGAGAGCGGGCTGACATTATAGTTATAGACATTTCATCTAAAACTTGATAAAAAGCACTTATTTATAATTTCACTAGCTTATGTGTATTGACATTAATTGAAAATTTTGCAATAATTTTAACATTAAAGTAAGTTACATGATATCAAAGATTTTAATGTTGAGACATTTTTAAACATCAAGAAGTAACTTTTATCTGTTTTGTATTTTTTTAAGCTTTTTTTGTACATTTACTATAATAATAACATAATCAAAAACAACAAATTTATATATATATATATATTACAACAGAATATGCTAAGTGGAAATGCAGATTAGTTAACAATTTAATATATATTTTCACCTAAACATAATTCATACTTTTTAATGCATAATTGTTAAAACATTTTAAATAATAAGTTATTTTTTTTACAAATTCTCTAATCTATTGGTTTGCTTTTCGAATCAAATCCCGTGGAAACTTAAATATAGACACTGGATATATATTTTCCTATGCAACCAGGTATACAGCACATACAAGGCATCTTCTAGAAATAGTTATTCATTAGTATGGTAATATTATTTTAACAAAAAATAAAAAGGGTTAAAAAATTGTTTACTATGAAAACATTACAGTACAAATGTTACATTACATTTTCCTGACACTTATATTGATAAACAATTTCCATGATGAAATGTATGGAAATTCTTATTTTAAGCATATATAACTATTATATTCAAAGGAATTTAAATACAGTATTATCGATTGTTAAATAATTCATATGAAAATTCTATACTTTTAAGTTGAAAAATGGTCATACAAATTTGATTAAACATATTTACAGATATGTCCATGATGGAAGTGGATATATGAAATTTCTGTAAATTTGAAAAGTATTGTTTCTTAACACAGATTTTGAACTGACATTCAAAAGCACAAAATGTCTATTGACAGAAAGAATTGTCAATTCTAACTAAAGCATTAAAAAAAAAGATTTTCTGATAAGAGTAATCTATGGAGAATATTCTTTATTCAAAATTGTTCAGTAACATTTACATTCGAACTTTATAATTTGTTAAGCAAGATTTGTGAAAATTTCTCTTTCAGGGGTATACAGGTATACCTCAAGTTACTTCGTTCTTGATTATATGTTGTTTGTCAAAAAATATATGGAAAAATAAAATTCAAGTTTAAGTCATTTTATTTGACTTTACGTCCATCTGCCAAAATATTGGAGTCGTAATATCACTAGAAAAGCGTTAAAGCACGTAAAATCATATTAAAATATGTACATTTACAGTAAATGTTAATATAATCATCATAAATCATAGAGAACGAAACATGAAAACTTCTGTGTTGTCGTCTTATTTAGCGGTCTTTAAGTGCTCAATATTGGTGTTTTCCGTGGTAGCGCCAATATCTACCATTTGGCGTTGTCGTCAGTGCCACTTCATATTGGTAAATTTAATATAAATTAGTTTATTTTCTACTGTCGCAAGATAATTTTAATAACTGTATTTGTTATTTAACCTTACAAAATCATTTATTTTATAATGTCTTAGAGCAAACCACATTCACAAATAAAGAGTCCGCACTGTACTGTAAACATCGCCAAATTGTAAACACGTACATTTACAAGTATGTACTGTACATACATGAATTCGTAAATTTAGATTACTTTTTCTGTACTATATTAAAAACTAAAATTTATTTGTTTGTAAGCTTAAAATAGATTCTTATTAACAACATATTATTAAAAATGCATGTATAAATAAAATACAGAACTGGGAATGGTTATTTGTGGTTTAGCCTAGTGACGAGTAAATTCAGAGACAAGTAAATTCGACTTGCGTCGTTTTTCAACCTAAATCGCATCTCCAGGAACTAATTACCGATGTAAGGTGAGGTATACTTGTACAAAACTTTGTTAATTTTATTGTTTTATCTAACTATATTAAATGCATATGACAAATTCAAAAAATATTCTGACCTGTCTTAATTATAAATTTTATCCTTTCTTGAACTTTTTATGAATAATATCTGTAACAAAGTATAAATTTTCTGTTATTTATTATCTGTGCACGTAAATTTAAAACACTAATTGCACTATTAAAATTATCTATTGTATATGATTTGGTTCAGAGGTGCATAAAGATCAAGTATGAAGTTAAAATTTGTTCAAAAAAAATAATCAATCTTAGTAATTTATTAAGTAAAAGTAAACCATTTTAAAATTATTCCTATAAATTTAAGAAAACATGCAAACTAAACTTTATACTGCATTTTCACTTTGTACTCACTCCATATTACGACAACTAAAAAAATAATCTATTTCGTCACGATTTGTTCTGACCACAAAATATAATCGATATTTCGGTGTGTTGACATCTTTCAGCCAACCAATCAGCATGCTGTGCCATCTGGATATTTAGTTGCATGCAAAACTGAATGGCTGACACAAACACTGGTAGTTGGGATTGATTGTTCTCAACAAATGGGCAAGCTACATGGAATTTTTCAGGTATTTTGTAGTCTAACACATAAATAGGGGTCATTATCTCGTGCAAAGTTCTCTCAGGAATTCTTCCTTGCTAGAATGCCTTTCTGTTACATTGTCTTATCGCACAGTTTAACTCAAATTGAGTCTTTTAATATAGAATAATTTTTGTATATCATTTCACTCAACCTTTGTCGTTGGTGTAACACCTGAGCCTTCAGTATATGTAGATTTGTAGCACAAACTAATTTTTGTAACATACTCCTAGGGGTATGTTTACCATTGGTTGAGAACTGCCAGAACTAATGTGTCATATCAGTGTATGGACAGTATTTTTTTTACATGGAGTTTTTTGGAATATGACTATTGTTTAAAAAAGAATTGGGTGTATAATAAATATAAAAGAATAAATTTATCCAACGAGATTTCTTACTTAACATTTACATTTTTTAAATAGATGAACAGTTTTTATTGAATCGTCTAGCAGTGTCGGCAGTGGACATTTACAGCATGATCGTAGTGTTGTCTAAATGTACGCAGACCTTAGAAAAGAACCTGCCCTCATCCCAGCACGAAGAGGCCTTAACCAAAGTCATCTGTTCAGAAGTAAGATGCAAATGCTTTTAACAGAAAAACTTTGTTTCTGAACTGCATTAAACGTTTTTATCTTTCAGGCAGCAGAACGAGTGCAATTAGAACTGAGTAGCTTGAAGAAAGGAGAAAAGTTGGATAACTTCAAGACCATGGCATCCATATCCGAGGACCTCTGCAAAAACGGTACCGTGTGCGCCTATCCCGCTCTCGGATTCTAATATACATAAGTCGTCACCGAAGAACACACGGTTCCCTGTACATAAGGAAATATTTGTGTATCTGCCAAATCGTCCATAATTGATTATATAATCATAATTGCATAAAGCGCAATTGGGTTCTTTTGAAACCAATATTTTCAAACCGATTATTTTTACATATTTTCTAAATATATAAAACTCCAATAAATATATTACTTTTAGTAGTATAATTGAGTGATTGTGCAATTATTTTTATTAATTTATTACTTTCTGAAGTTCATAATTTGCTTAGTTTTGTATATATACAAATAAAATTCTTACAGTTTATCATTTTTGCTTGAATTGATCTCTTACAGCTAACGTGAATTTTGATGCACAAATTATAACATCAAATTCAAAGAAAGACAATGAAGCGAAGCATCTTTCCTTGTTGCAAAGTTAGGTTTTTATCGTCGACATTAATTTTTTTATTAACATTACATCATTTATATTACTAACATTAACATTTCAAGCATTAGAAAACTTGCATAAAAAATATAACAATTTTTTCCAAGTGTATTCTTTACATCCTTTTTACAGTCCAACTCAGAAATAACTGCAAAACTAGATCGAAGATAATCTAAATCTTGAATAAAACAGCAAACATAGATTATTAGAAAATTACACAAGTTGAAAATGATCAAAACACAGACCTTTTATTGTAGATTTGGTGCTTTTACAATAAAACACTGATAAAATTTTTCACAGTATCCACTGTGTCTTGTATCCATAACATTTGTTGCTGTATAAACATTACTTGACTACTTTCATTAGAAACAAAATCATTAGTATAATACTCAAAGTTATATTGTTACGAAAATAACATGCTGCGTACCATTGTAATGAACAAAATAATTTATATTTAAATTGAACTTAGAGAAATTGAGATAAAGCTCATACATTATTTTACCATTTTTAAATAAATATACAAATGAATCACACATAAGGAAGATATTCCATACTAATTTTCAGTATATGAGAAAATATATTTTTTGTTTATTACAATTATCATTCATTTAACATACAGAGTGATTAGAATTCATTTAATTGATTATCTTTTATGTTATTTTTATTTGCGTGTAAATATAAATAATAAAGTTTCGAACAAATATAAAAATTTTATTTTGTAAACTGCAAAACAAAATCAAATTTTATTTTGAAGTTTACAATCAAAAAACAAAATATCGTACATACTTGCAAAAATAAATATTTTTAAAAAGATGCACCGGATCCACAATAAACTAAACGGTTTCTTCCAAACCATAAGGGTGTGGGATATAATATATACATTTACTAAATTTTTCACTAACAATGCTAAAGGCTTTCCACATTGTCCGATTTATATATAGATCCATAACAGATGTTATAGCATTGACAATTAATCCCACATCTTCACTATATTATATTTTTTTAAAACAATCTGTTGATTTGCTAGTATAAAAGTATGCAACAGTCTGTTTCCACCTTGTAAATAAACCACTTTAACATAAAGACTAATGAATGAGTAGCCGAGCTGGTACTATTTGGTAATGTTACCTTGCCATAATACGTATTGTGGCAAGGTAACATCTCTAAATGTGTTTTGTGAAAACTTTAAAGGTTAAGACAAATTACATAATCGTTTTTATTTTTTTAACTATAACTGCATTTTAGCTAGTTTTTTCCCAATGATTATCAGGAAAAAGTATCCGAAAATCAGATTAAGTGTATCATTTCAGATATTAAGACAGCACATTTTGATTTAAACAATTTTTGTTTTGGTTTTTATGCAATTGCAAACCATAACATCATTTTTACTTTAATTATATGTTACTTATATTGTTATTATATATAGTGTGTCTCATATTAGTAACATTCATATGTTATTACTAAGAAATAGATTGATACGATATCATATATATATATATAATGTTTATAGAATATTAAATGTATTCTACTGTAAAGTGTATTTATAAAACAACTTAATTCCTGCACAATACACATCATACTTATATATTGTTATTATTTATTAAACTATAATAATTTATTATAAGTGGCTGATGTTAAATACTGTATAATCTGTATACACAAATGATGTTTGTTTGTTTATTCGCTATACACTCCTAGGCCTTTCCACCAATTGCTACAAAACCCAGCAGTTAGGTTTATATAACTGTAACTTGAATAATGTCGTACATCCCACCCCATAATATTTGTTGAATTTTTGTAAATCTATAAATTTCTATCTACATTCGATTTTTATGCATCTTTCTAATTACAGATATATAGTACAAGGCCTGTCTATATATTACTTTTGCTAACGTAATAATTTAAATACCTTCAACCTCCGATTATATTCATAATTGGAGGTTGATGCTTACACAAAGATCCGGTAATACTAATTTCACTTGTACATAATCCTATGTTTATGTCAACAATGTAATCGGCTTTGTTAAGGTTTTTTACTGAATAACTTCCTTCTCCTAATTTTGTCATTTTGCTAATATCGACATCCTTACTGTCGGAATATAAAAAGTATACGTAGAATACGACAAGATTAATATAAAAAAAGTAGAGGATTAGGTGGTATTATGGAACCTCTTTATCATTTCTGAGGATTTTGTATAAATTAGGGACCCTTTTTATAAGCATTCTCGAACCGTTTCTGTCAGCAACCTCTTTCATAACGCTATTCATACTTTCATTATACGTAAAGTTCACGACTGTAGTGGGAGCACTTTTAAATGGCCTTTTCTTGACGTTCGCCTCGTACTTCTTAACCATTCCCGGAATTGCGCTTTTTCGGGAACCTAGGGTCTGGGCCACGCTCACTATTCTATCTATTTCTTTACTCCCGTCTTGTATTCTGTCACAATACAAAAGGGCCCCTAATTTATACAAAATCCTCAGAAATGATAAAGATAGTATAAAATCAGGAGAGATAGCGGGGGTTTATACAATTCCATACGGGAATACGCAATTGGGCAAAGACTATGTTGGAGTAACCACCGGGAGTTTGGAACTTAGACTCGAGGAGCGTAGTTATAATATCAGAAAGGAATCTAATGCAACAATTTTGTCCCAAATGGCGCAAACGCGAGGATCGGTAATCAAATGGAATGAGGCAGCCATCGTCAAACCTTTATCTTCCCCATCTTTGGCGTTGACAGCCGAAAAGATGCAGATCTATAGGAGTAAACTACAGGAAGGCTGTTTGAATGCGAGGGATGCCGAAGTCTTCCCTCTGCATGGAAGTTTATAGTTAAGGAATTTAATAAGAGCTCTAACCAGTTAAAATAGTAATTTTATTGGATGCGTTAGTAATTGTACTTCTTAATACTTCTACGTACATATTTTATATATTTATGTTACTCCGTTGTTACTCCGTTAATTTTGAATTTTGAATTTTGTATTCCACTAATGGAACGCTTTAATTCAAATTTCGTTCTCAACCTGAAAATGGCACGTAAATCAGGCTGAAAACGTTTGTTTCGAAATAAATATATTTCTCGGCAAAGGTAAGGAGTTATTTATATGTAACTTATATTATAGCTCGGAATAGGTCTTCTGGTCAAGAGCGAGAAGCCGGGTTCTGTTTAGTTACTCCTTACTAAGTAACTACTCTGCCGGCTCTGGTTGACGTCCGAACTCCTTATCAATCCCGAGCCCGATTTGAAATATTTCTGCGGGTCCTTTCTTTTATTCGTGTCTTACTGTTTATTTACCAATTTCCTGTTGTTATAACGGAGGAAAAGTATGGCGATTCGGGAAAAATGACCCCGTTCTAGATTCTTACATTTTTCGGCTCGGGAGACCTCGAAACGTCGATAAATGCAAATTTTGGGAGAAAATTTCTGTATCTACAGATGTGTCAGCGTGTGGGGCACGCTTTTATTTTTGTCTTGTATCAGATAGTTGGACGTCAGCATCTAATCTCTTTGGGCTCTGGATTTAATGGTACAGAAAACCACAGAACCGTCAACGATCTTTTGTAAAAATTACAAATTTAATAATCATATTTCTGAATGGGATAATGTTAGTTTTATTTTCGAACTTGACACTTTCATTGTTACTTGACACTTCCATTGTTACTTAACACTTCTATTGTTGATGCAAGTGTTAAGCCTTAATCCCGTCCCTCTCCCCCGTAGGGAGGGATTTCGAAAAATCTTTTCTTACTGTGCGTTTTCGTGACATGCCCTAACCGTGTACCAAATTTCAACTTTCAACTCCTAACCGTTTAAGCTTTACGCTTATTATTATTATCATTATAAACCCGTCTCGATTATATATTAGATTATAGAAATACAATATAAATTTATGCTCAATTTACGGCTTTATTATGCAATAATTATACATTTTATAATATAATTCGCATTCAAAATGCACAAAAAGTATACAAAATTAATTTCAATACAAGCAAATTAAAAATAATATCAATTAACGAAGAATTATTCGTTAAATCGTTCAAACACGAGGAATTTTAATTATACTATTCACAGCGGGTGTAAACATTATAATAACTCACTTTTTTTTGCTTAGTCTTCGGCACTTTTTTGAGAATTTCTTTTCCGCGACATTAATTAAACAAAGGAAGCGACACTAATCACACCTATTAACATTAGCGAAGTAACAACAGCCACTGCGATTTTCCATCCAAAAACAGAACTAACTTCATTTAATGAATATTCGTTCACAGAAGAATCATTTACTGAAGATGCCAAATTTACGTCTGGATTTTCTACACATTTACCATTATAAACAATGTCGATGAAAGACACACAACACGAATTTCTTTCACAGAAAACATCGGAGAAATCTGCAATCTTCTGCCGGTTTCTAAGCAACCAGTCTTTAGTAATTTGCGAAGGACAATGGCGAGTCAAATTGTTTCTGGATAAGTAAATCTGAAATTCGGTAGAAAATTTCTTTCTTCTCCGTAACATTTCGTCTTCTCTATATCTGGAAACATTTCCTTTGCCACTTCCATATTTGACTTAACGAAAGAAACGAATTGCTGCAGTTTGTGGTCACAAGTAATTTCGTTGTTACTTATATAATACGTGGCATTTCAAATCCATATTTCCACTCATCTAAATAAATTGTTCTGATTTTACAGTAATACAGAAATATGTTTACCCGATTTGGTGTGTAAATTGGCAATTTGACGATTTCGAAATGATTATCTGAGAAATCGACGTAAATCAAGTTGTATTCTGTCCAATTTATCATCGGCCATTGTTATCTATACGGACATAAGTTAAATTCTTGCTGCTGCCGAAAAGACGCTCACCGATAATTTTAGTTAAATTGTTGTAAGATAGATCGAGACGGGTTAAATTAGTCAAAGGGAAGAAGATATTTTCGGGTAAAAATGTCAGGCGATTTCTTGATAAATCGAGAATCTCCAATGACGACAAATCCTTAAAAACATCTTCGGGAAGATTTTCTAACCGGTTTCCTTCCAAGTCTAACCGTCGAAGTTCAGAAAGATCACGAAAAATTCCAGTTGGAAGGGATGATATTTTATTACCCCGACAGGAGAATACTGTCAGTAGTTTGTTATTTCTCAGAAGATTTGGAGGGAGACGTTCAATTTCGTCGTACCATAATTCCACGGTTTTCAAATTAATTAAATCAGAAAATACATCATCTTCGAGTGAAGAAATAGAACAAAACAATGCATAAATTTCAGTCAAGTTGGGCAGTTTCTTAAAGAATCCGGACGGAATTTGTGAGAATATATGATTTCCATGAATATAAAATGTTCTTAAATTAAAAAGACCTTTCAACGTGTCAGCTGGTAAATCTTTTATATCATAAAATCCTAAATTCAAATGTTCGAGTTTTGTGAGATTTCTAAAGACAAGTGGATGAATCCATTCAATATAATTGTAATTTAAGTCTAGTTTTGTCAAATTGTGAAGATTATAAAATACATCTTTTGGCAAAACTTCTAACTGACCACTTACGAGGATTAATTCGGAAAGATTAATTAACTCTCGGAAAGGTTTGTTCGGAAATAAAGTGAAGTTATAGCCGTCAATTCTCAATAAAGTCAGCGACGGAACATTGCGAAATGTTAAATTTAGAATTTCCGACGTCATCATGTTTTGTATTTCGATAGATCGAAGAAAAGTCATGTTATTAAAAGAGGCGCTTTCGAAGTTTCTTTTATACGAGGGTGGGTACGATACCTTGACGTGTTCGATTTCATATCCGAAAGTGAATATTCCAAAGTCGATCCCAGACATATAACAATTTCTAATATTTAAGTTTTGTACATTTCTAACATTCAAACATCGCATTAAACGAGAGTCGATCCTTTCCTCGCCGCACTCGATAGATAAAGATCGATCGAATATTTCAACGTAGGATAAGTGCTTCGATTCGTAGCATCTCTCTGCCCTTGACAGACAAGAAACATTCTTCCAATGTTGCCAATAGAAGCATCTCCCTACCCTTGACCGACAAGAAACATTCCCCCAATGTTGCCAAAACTCTCGACAAGAATTTACCGCTAAAAATAGCAATTGAAAAACGATAACAAACCTCGTCTCGTCCAATGAATCTTGTACTTACATCGACAGACGAATCTCGCAAGTACAACTTTCAGAATGAATTAACAATGAAACAGAATTCCGAACGGGTAATAGTCTATATCCTTAATGTTGTTACGTCGTCAACACTTTAAATTATAACGTCAGTGACGTTAATCGTCATTTCCTACAGAAATATGACGTACATAGTTATTAATTTGCTGGTTTATTTCCATTGCGTTAGAAGGAACATTATCGGATTAACGTTAAATGAATGATTTACGAATAAAAAATTTGTTTTGCACATTTATTACACGACAATTGTTCTTCTATACTATTTGATATTGTAAATAAAATATTATTTATTTTCTTTCTCTAAAACTTATCTGGATAGTGTTAATCGATTGTTTTGTGACACAAAAGAATGTTTCTGTCCGACTCCAGTGAAATTATTATAATAAAAATTATTTAACTGAATATGAAATAAATATAAAATGTATCTGTTTTATATTTGTGAAGCAAAGGAAATTGTCAATAAAAAGGAAATGTTAAATGTATTGAGTTAAACCGTCAAGAAAAGAAGTTACGTAAATGTTCATTCGGTGACACCGGACTTTGACATCGTCGCTGGAAAGGAATAGAACGGTAAACAAAATTTTAGAATAAAAGAACATTAAAAAGGGAAATATTTAAAACTTTAGACCCATTAAAATAAGGCGAAGCGAGAATCAACAAAGAGCGATCATAGTCGACAGGATGGTTTCGAATAAACAATCCTAGGAAGACCTATCTGGCCACCTAATCTGTTCTCAATTTTCACCTACAGACAGGTAAAAGACCAATATTTTTCTGCCTCCTAAAATCACATACTCGTGACCTTAGACCATCCCGACGAAAGGGAATAAAACTCCACCCCATAATCTGCGAATTTACATATTCGTCCGAATGGAAGTTTTCTCATTTTAATCATAATTATAACAAAATATAAAAAGTATTTCTTGCGATTATCGATTACTTTTTTCTCAATCTTAATAGAAAATAAAAGTGCCCTTTTTTCGTACGTAAAGAAGACAGCAAAAAATAATTAAAAGGAACAGAAATTATCCTTTTAATTATTTTTGAATGAGACTGCGACCATTTGTAATATTTAAAGCATTTAATCAAGTTAATTAAAGTACAAGATAATTGCGAAACTCTGGCAAATAATTTAAGAATATTTTAAGTAATAAGAATAAGTTTATCCTTCCAGGAATAAACTTAAATTAAATCAGGCAGTTTGCATCCGAAAATAATTACCTTTAAACAAGAACTTAAAAAGGAAGTATTTTCAATTTATATAAAGCGAAATTCCAAGAAATAAACTTTAAAAATGAAAGTCAAATACTTTAAACCGTGCGGAAATGGTTATAGTAATTACGGTGGTTGGCGGCTTTTATTTATCAATTAGTTTTCTCTGCTTAATTACTTCATTAATCTCTGGCATTGATAATAATACGTAGGATCACTTGGAATAGTCTAACCTAAGCGTTCGAGATTGCTTCGACTGATAATGGATGCAGCAAGTTTAGCTCTTTCTTCGAATTACGATATCTCAGGAAATTTTTAATATTTCTATATAGTGTGGTGTTTTTTTGAAAAGCGTTTAACGAGTGGATTAAAAGTTTATTAGAATTTTGGAATTTGGACCACTCTACGCGAAGATATCGAACTTTTAATTTTGGGACTCTTCGAATTCAATTTAGTGGACCGATGGATTTGATTATCCGGAATCGGGTATAGCGTTGTCTTTGGACATACAACGTGAGTTCATTTGTTAAATTTCGTGAAGTTTGGCCCATACATTACGCAGATATCAAATACTTCCGGTTAATTTTTGGCAGTCTTAAACGGACTTCCGCTCTAATATTTTTAAAAGTTACTTGGTCATTTTTTAGTGCTTATTAAATGTAAGCTCTTCTGAAAATATGATGTCTCTATGTATAACAGTTTTTGAAATAATTGAATTCTACAATTTTCTTAAAAACCAATATCTACCTTCCATTGACTGACCTTTCGGCCGAAGTTTCTAGAACTTTACGGAAGAAACGATTTTCTCTACTTCTATTCATAATTTAATAGTAAACTGTATATTTTTGGATTTGTTAGAATCTCAGGAAGAGGTTTATCCTATTTATAATTTAATATATTTATTACTTTGGAACTTATTTAAATATAACTTTTTATTTTTCTTTGTTATTATGGAAAAAGATATACAAATATTTCATGGTGCTGCTCTTGGCATTGTGGAGGAGATAAAGAGTTATTCTAGTCGCTATCCCAATGGCAAATTAGGTGCTGAATGTCATATGACATATATTCTTTCGCAATTTTCTAGATTAATGGATCTAGCTGAAACTGCTCTAAAGAAGAATAGTCTGATTGAATATCTTGAGCAGAAGCTATCTCTTTTGCCTACTAAACAGGATTTAAAAGATTTAAAGGATGTTTCTCCTGGGTTTTTTGATAATGGATCAACTAATTTAGTTGATTATGAGGACATAGCTAAAAATGCCTATATTGAAAATATTGTTACTACACAAAAAATTATTATTGATAGATTGGAAACAATTGAGCAGAAATTTATAACACACACCTCTCCCGCTCCATTATACAGTACAGTAGTTAAGGCTAAGGGATCCTTTGGACCCAACAGCGTTAAGATAAAACCGTCTGCCTCCAAGGACGTGCTTCTTGTATACAATAAAAATAAGGATAATGGCAGCAGCGATACTGTACGCAAAATAATACAAAGTAAATTAAAACCATCTTCTCTACATGTTGGTATTGATAAACTTCGAAAGATAGGAGCTGGGGGGCTTGCTATTGAGCTCTGTGACAGGCGAGATGCAGATGCATTGGAAAAATGTATTGAAGAAAATATACCAGNAAAATAATACAAAGTAAATTAAAACCATCTTCTCTACATGTTGGTATTGATAAACTTCGAAAGATAGGAGCTGGGGGGCTTGCTATTGAGCTCTGTGACAGGCGAGATGCAGATGCATTGGAAAAATGTATTGAAGAAAATATACCAGAATTAGTTACACGAAGGCCAAAGAAAAGATGGCCGCATGTTACATTATACTCTGTACAATCTAACATTTCTAAAGAGGAATTACATAATCTTATTTACAAACAAAATGAAGTTATTAGTGGACTCTATACTGAGGAGGAATTTTCAAAAGAGTTTCGTATTAAGTTTATTTTAGGAAGAAAGGACATTAATTACATTAACTGGGTAGTGGAAGTCTCACCTGGCTTGAGAAAAACTTTATTAAATTTAGGAAAAATTAGTGTAGAGTGGTCTCGCTGCAGGATTGTGGATTTTTGCCCAATCCTGCAGTGTTATAAATGTTGTCAATACAATCATTCTGCAAAGAACTGTCCCCAAGCAGTGCCTACTTGTAGTCACTGTTCGGGTGAGCATCTGTATAAAGACTGTCCTAACTGGGAATCTGGTCCAATTTGTTGTAATTGTGAACAAGAGGAAATGAATAATTGTAAACATAACGCTCGGGATGGCTCTTGTCCGATTAACCTGCGAATAAGGAATATCATTATATCTAGAACAGATTATGGACTTTGATAACACTAGCATACGTATTTTACAGATTAATCTAGGGAGAAGTATTGCAGCTTCCTCCCTTTTATCTAAGAATATTGATAATTATGATTTAATTTTGGTACAAGAGCCTCATTGTAAAAAAAATATTCCTTCTTGCTTACCCACCTCTTGTCCTGTGCTGCGGGGATCCGATGATATTTCCTGGGCAATTACTTTGATAGCTAATACTGATTTATCTCTTATGCATCATACAAATTTCTCTAGTAAATACCTAATCACTACTGAACTTATGATTGATAAAGAAAGATTTATAGTTATTAATGTTTACTTACCAGGTGATTATGATGATAATGTTTTTATAGACGAGCTACAAAGAAAAGTGCATGCTTTTTGTGATACATGTATTATAATTGCGGGTGACTTTAACGCCCACTCCCCGGCATGGGGCGGTGACGCTTTTGATTTGCGTGGGGGTATGCTGGAAGAGTTCTTTGCAGTTAATGATTTAATAATAATTAATAATCCCTTATCTTCTCCGACTTTCATCTCTAGTAGAGGGGAAAGTTGGATAGATATTGCTGTTTGTAGTGCCAATTATCACTCTAAAATACAAGATTGGAGGATCTTAGATGAAGATAGTCTTACTGAACATGCCTATATCACTTTTAACTTGGTTAACATAAATCGTAGTTCAACATCCCCTTATCTTCCTCGCAATAAGTATGCTTGTAACCGGGCTAATTGGCCGGCTATAAAAAATTTTCTTGATGATCATCTTATTGATCAATATTCGGAGGACCCTGCTATTGTTAGAGGGCAAATTGATAAAAATATTGAAACTATCATTAATGCATGTGAGCTGTATATACCGAAGAGGATTGTACAGTACATAAGAAAAGTGTGCCTTGGTGGACCCTCGAGTTAAGTGTGTTGCGTCGCACAACTAGAAAGTTAAGAAGAACTTACCAGCGTTGCACAGATGACAACGAAAGAATTTTGCATAAGGAGGCTTTATCTAGCTCTTATTTGGGGAACTAAATGTCAACTTCAAAAGGGATCGCGGGACGAGAGAACGTCCGAATCGCTCTCTTTGTTTGGAAATAAGACAATTTTCCACGTTTCGGCAATACTTCGTCTAATTTTACGCCCGCTACAAAGTTTCTACAAAATAAGTATTATTGTAAACTTTTATATTACCTTTTAGATGAAGATATTCCACTTTTAAATCATATCTAACTGTAATAAATTTATACATCTTTTTACGTTTTATTTTGTTTATGAAAACATTTTATTAATTTAAATACTATGTTAACAAGAAATAAAATGTAAAATAACAATCGAAATAAAAAATTTTTCCACGAAAAAAAATATCGTCTGTTTACAAAATAGCGAAACTGAGCATGCGCGAAGTAACAGTATCGTCTGGTAAAGTAAATACGAGTAAGTTCAAACTTATATATTTATTTATTCGGAAAATAATAATAAATGTAGCCGCTGCGATAAATGGGCGCATTGTTCTTGCGCTAATATTGAAGAAAACGAGAGTTTAACCATTTTAATTTGTCATTCTTGTATATAAAAATAATATCCCCGTCTTACCCCGCGGGTGGGGCGAGATGGCGCATTTACGTATAATTTTAAAATATTAAATTTTCTTGTTTTTAAAAACGTTTTCAAAAATTAAATTTTGTATTATATATTATCAAATGTTTTCTAGACAAATATGTTTTCTCATATCTCATAGAGGAGTGTTATAGCTATGCGCTGTTCACTCCAGAAGAAACAGTAAGGAAGAGTCGGTCTTATAGAAGACGACCAATCCGAGGAAGACAGGATAGAGGTCACTAAGTAACCAAAGCCGGTCTTATAAGAGACGACCCCCGCGAGAAAGGGAGACAGAATGCCTTCCGGGAGGACTTGGAGGGAAAGCTGGCCCCTATTCAGGCGTCATTGGCAAGGACGAAAACCCGGAAAAAACTCCCGCTGCCAGCTCGTCCGAGTGAGGCGCGAACCCCCGATCNGTATATAAAAATAATATCCCCGTCTTACCCCGCGGGTGGGGCGAGATGGCGCATTTACGTATAATTTTAAAATATTAAATTTTCTTGTTTTTAAAAACTTTTCAAAAAATAAATTTTGTATTATACATTACCAAATGTTGCAATTGCCGAGAATAAAAAAAAAATTATCGTTCTCGTTAAAGTGGTCGCCATCTTATGACTTTTCAAACCTTAACGTCCTCATCCTGCCCCACCTTCCCCTATAGATTGTTTCGTCTGGAATTTAACTATTTTCTAGATTTTATTTTATTATTATTATAAAGAAGGTAAGACCAGAGTTTAAAGTGGTAAGTGTAGTACAGTCGACCTCCCTATAACACTGTTGATTTTTCCGTTTTATATGAATTCCTTGTTGTACGAGTCACTTTGATTTTACAAATACGTGAGCCGTTCGCAGCCTGGCACACGTATTTGTAAAATCTAAGTGACTCGTACAACATAGAATTCATATAAAATGGAAAAATCAATGTTGTACGAGTCACTTAGATTTTACAAATACGTGTGCCAGGCTGTGAATGGCTCACGTATTTGTAAAATCAAAGTGACTCGTACAACAAGAAATTCATATAAAACGGAAAAATCAACAGCGTTATAGGGGGGTCGACTGTACTTAACCCTCAATATAACAATAATTTTATAATCTAAGTACTAGCCAGACTTTGAAGGGCCGTATGATTATTTATATTCGGGTCAGTATGATCCGTACCATACTCGGTATGTTGTTGATTTTTTTCGGACTGTCATTTTCTTTTGCAGAATATAAGTAGTGTTCTTGTGTTTTTATTATATAGTTTGTGAAAATTTTGGTTTTAACTTGTGAAAATATTTACAATGAAAAACTATATTTTGACCTTTGAACTCGTTGAAATTAAAATTTTTTAAGAGGTAATAACGAGCTAATAATTGTGGGAAATGGAAGAAACGTTGCATTTGCCCATGAAAAGTAAATAAAGAAAACATGTTAGTAAGTGAAAGTGACTGATATATAGAAACTACATCATTAGGATGTGTACAAATTGCGCGCTATGTGCATCATTCTAGATAACAAAAGTATAAATTAACACGAACTAACCTTCTGTTTGTTATGATATAGACCACAACCTTAGACACCGAAGCCGCGAGGGATTGGAAAATTACCAATCCGAAATGCATAGTTAAATAGGCGAAATAAAGTGAACTATTTTAATTTCGGTCTGTTAATTGCGGATAATTAAGAAAGACGTGATAAATATCATTAGTCTCACTATTGAAAGAAACAACCTTTATAACGTTTTATACTTTTTATTATTATCGAATAGAAAAAGGTTAATTTTGAGGGTCGTAATCAGTTTTTTAAAAAATTGTAAATGTTAATAACGAATAACATCTTCATTAAGTCCGACCTCTCTCGAGATATACATGAAACCCCTATCTCCCTATTTGTTTTAACCTTTGATCACCAAAATTTAATATCATCGTGGCTCTTTACACATGCCAATTTTCGTGTTTTATAGACGGAATATTTTTGACACTCTTTTGGGTCGAGGAGGTCTCAAAACGTGAAGATTTGCAAAAAATTCTGAAGGTCAAATTTTACACAATTCCAATTTTTTCCCTTATTATGTACTGTACATATAACTGTCGAGAAAGTAAAATTAAGAAGGTTTAGAAATGCATTTAACTTATCGCTATAGAATATTTTGTCTCCTTTAGAAACGTTTAAATAAAGGGTTAAAGAAAGAAATGTCTTGTTATTTATTTTCAAAATTAAAAAAAAAAACAAGAACTAAGTAGAGTTATTTTGACTCGCACCTTCTTAGTTAAGAGTTAAAACTCTTCCTTTCCTTTTCAGACTTTTACACAATGGGTTAGAATATTTTAGCTCGTTGCCTTTACACAACACAAATGCCACGCTCCCTTGACTAAAAGGAAAATGGCGGAGGCGCATTCGATTTTCTTCAAAGACGGCGTGGCTACAGCTACTCTATTTAGTATATTTATTCTAGCCGGTTGCGATTAGGCCATTCTTAATATTTTACTCAGTAAGTACGTCTATTTGATAATAACTCACCATGCTTCAACCTATATCCGCGCTTTAATTAACTTCAGTTTTCGGGGATTTTTAATAGAATGGAATTTTACCCGTCACCACAAAATTCGTACGGAGCGTAACTTTAGTCGGAAAGGCGGGCCAAGAAAGAGCATAAATTTCCGGAAAAAAAAAAGCTCTATCGGGAGCCGACTCGGCATATCTCCAGTGGGTACCGTCCGTTTCCGGAATTAAGCGTGGCATCTAACATATTAAAAAGCTTCTTGCCCCTATTATTTAATTATAAAAGCTACTTATTTACGTATGACTAATGAACGGGCTTATTACGCACCCTGCCTATTTAATTAACTTATCCAAAACGCATTTTGGCCTTACTGGCTATTATCGATCGGCTGACGTACAAAACGGAGTCGACCCACCAGTGGCCGAGCGATTCCGTTCCCCGAACACTGGGAGTTGGGTGGGGGATTCTCGCCCGGCCGGGACGGGCTGGCCACGTAGAGTTTTCTCCCCGTCCGTAAGGCCCGAATTGGGGCCGGTTACCCTTAAAAGACCTCCAAGAAGGCATTATTCCCCGTTTCCCGCGTGTAACAACAAATATATAATTACTAAGTACGTCCCATCGCACGTCGCGACTTACCACGGCGCAACGTAGCCTAGTAACTGTGGCCCAACATAAAAAGACGAGGACAAGTAGCCATTAGCCGTTAATATTCGCTTCGTATTACGTAATATTGTACCACGACCGAAGAGAGACGCATTTATACGTCCAAAATGCATATTTGAGTCGACAAAAATCAAATGATAAAACAGTCACCTTAATGTCGTTTGTGGTCGTTAGCATAAGTTTGGGTGGGAGGCATATTAATGGCCAATAGAAAATTAACATTACCGATTTGTGTCCAAGAAAGGAAATACGTAGGCCTACGAATCGTTAACGTATTAGCGTTTACTCACTATATGCTATTATAAGTACAGAACGGGACCGAAAAAGGAAGTGACGGCAATTTCTAGAAATGCCACAATATTTCCTACCTACTCGTCCGACGAGGCCCACCGGAAGCATTTTTTTATCAACCATCGATAACGGTATATCGACGTACAGTACTATGCGTACCGAGACCCACGCCTGGGTAACTTTGGTACTGCAAATCTTACTCTTTTTCTAATTTTGACGTGTACCATTCGTAATTTACAAGTATAATGCAACAATACATAATCTAATTTATTGTGTGCCGTAAGGTCTTATTGTTATATATAAAATACATTTATAATATTCTTAATAAATCATTTTTTCAGTTAACTTACTTATCTTAAGGGTACCGGTTTTTTGGCACCTCGTATATGGTTCGACCAGTTTCCGCTGAACGATGCGGCCGAGAGATTATTTTGATACTACAGTGCCGAATTCGGAATCTCCGTAAGTTCTACCCCGTGGCTAGAAATCTAAGCGTAGCAGTCGTCCTCTATTGGGGCGTGAGACTTCTTTTCTTTGCCACTTCTTTGTTTTCCAGTGTAACTAACGATATAGTTTCGAATAAGTGTTCGTATCCATTGGTAAATAATTTCGCCAATCTTCGTAATTTGTTAGGAAAATTCACATCGGCTAATCTTCCACGCTCCAGTAACCGTCTTCTATCAATACATCCCCGACAGCCCTGAACAACTTTCTTGTTCTTATTTCCAATTCCGTGGAGAAGATTAAAATGTCTTCATTTTCGTTACGTCAAATCACCGGAAACGACAGTCTTTTATGGCAGAGACGACGTTTTATTACAGGTTTATGCCGCTGCAAAAACATGCAAAATAGTCTAAAAAAAGATCTACAGGTGGCAA